CCCGGTCCCGGTTAATTTAATAAATGGTTGTCGCTTTCCGGAGCCCGCCGAGGCGGCGGAAGGGAGCGCGGGCTGTTAGGCGGCAGGGGGCTAGTCCGGTGCCCGTGGGACCGGCGCGGTTGTTCGTCACCAGTGCTGCCCTCCCCTGTCTGGGGTGCTTGTTTTCCGGCAGCAGCCCGTGGATATTTGTGGGATAAAGTTCTGTGAAGGTTGGAACTCGTTCTGAAGCCCGGGGGCCTGGGGTCGGTGCTCGATCTTTGTGGTGCAGGAGAAGCCTGGGCCTGCGGTTGTGGTTATACTGGTTGGATTAACAAAGCCTGTCGCCTGTGGGTGCGAAACGGCTCCCTCCAGTCGCCTTTTCACCCTGTTTCACGTTACCGTGTTCTAACGCTGCGTGGGTGCCCTGTGGCCGCAGGGACGAGCCGCTCCCGCAGGTGCGGGACCAGCGGCTCGCGCACCTAGCCCCGGGTTGCACCCGGTGCACTGGGGCCTAGTACGTGGTGCTGGTGCTGCCCTCGAGCTGGCTCTGCTGGCCGCTGTGGGGCATCCGGAGAAGCTGTTGTAGCTTGTTCTGGTTTTTATTTTGCCAGAGGGCAAAGTTGGCCTTGTGTGTAAAAGCTGGGTGTAAAAGGTGTGCTTGCCCCTAACAGCAGCATGCGGAGGGGCAGTGCTATGTCTATTAAAATAATAGCTAACCCGTGTGTTTTGAGGCACGGAGTGGAGGTAGCCTTGGATGTTGCTGCTTTTCCCTGCAGGCTGGCATGGCCATGCCTCTGCTCTTGTGTTGCTGTCGTTATGCCGGGCCACAAGCAGGAATTATTGCACCAATGTGGAACAGGACTTGCGTTAGGAAGCTTCACTACTGCAAGCCACGTTCTACGTGGTGACTGTTTTACCAGTCCCAGCTAGAGGGGACTAGAAAGGAAATAGGGTGTAAAAGCTGTGGATCTACAGGGTAGGATGTCAGCTGGTCATGGTCCAGGATGGACATGTGTGAGGACAGCCCTTGCTGTAATCCCCCCTGCAATTTTGTTTTTAACTTTATTTTTATACTGCTTACATCTTCAGGTTTGCTTTCTTCTGCTGAATTAACATGCACCAAATTTCTGTCTTTCAGAGCAGATAAATAGATGATATCATCCTGCTGCCCGGCCTTCGTACTGCAGTGACCGCAAAAATAATGGCTGCGGACGTAAGCCAGTGGGATGAAACTATTTGTGACAAGGCCCTCTGCCAACATCCACAGTGCTGGGACACGCTGAGGAGGGTCGAGGAGGGTCATCCCCGCATCCGCTTCACAAATTCCCGTTCAATTTCTAGGATGCTTATGGGAAGTGAAGGTAAAGTTTTGGTTAAATTCTTATTTTCACAAAAGAAGGGGTGGGGAGGGGAAAACCATTCTTACATTTGAGATAACTAACTCAGAATCCTGAAGACAAGGAAACTTTTAGGTTTCACAGGAGGTAAATAGTGAAGTTGGAGACTGCAGGGTTTTTAGATTCCAAAAGCTGGAGGCAGTCATTAGCTTAGCCTCTCCTGGAAAATTTATTCCTGCTCGTGAGTGTTTATCTCACTAGCTTGTACAAATACAACATCCCTTCCCTATGGTCGCTAGCCTCGACCGACTGATCTCAAGATGGGCCGAACCTGTTACTTTCCTTGGCCGGTTGTTTCCATGGCTCCCTGTGATGCTGAGGTGCTCGGTCTCCAGTGGGCATTTTCCCTTAGTGTGTGTCCCTAAGAGCTCGCTCGTTAGCGGCAGGTTTCCCTCCGCCGAGGAGCTCCGCAGCGTGCCTGGCACCCGTGGGTGAGGCTTGCGTGTCGGCCGCTTGAGCCCCAGGAACGTGATTTGCACGTGGAGAACTGCTCTCAGAATCATGGTTGCTGTAAGGGGACTTATTGTTTCCTTAACTAGAAATTCTGACTCCTGTTAAATGCAGTTAATATACGATGGAGCTGCAGTTGTCTTCAGGGACACTAGTTATTAAACACTTGACAGTTTTTAATTACCATTCCTTGATGTTTATCTTGCACTGCTTTACTTTGTATAGATGTGTTTCCAACATTGAAAATAGTGAACGTGCCTCCTGGCCAGTCTTTGAGAAGATGCATCAGGTGTTCCAGGTGTCACAGAACTTTCTCCATCTCTGCTGCACCCTCTCCTCTGAATTCTGTGCCCCAGGATGGTCTGGGTGAAGACAGTGCTGTCAGGTGAATTGCTTTGAATGTCCACCCATGAGTTTGAAGCTTGCAGTAATTGTGGGCAAGAGGGCAATGGCCTGTGGCTTTGGGTTTTTTTTTTGTTTGCCTGTTTTGTTTTGGGGTTTTTTTCCTCACAGAATGAGGTTCGATGGTAGTGGACACAACCCACAAAATGTTTTGGCTGTGTAGAATGCACTGTAAGCAGGAATGGTTTTGAGTCTTGCAGAAGACTTTCCTTGAAAATGATTCTTATACAGCATTAAAACCGAATAAATAGCAAGTTTGAAATACAGATTATTCCTGTACAGAGCAATCACTGTGAAGTTACATATATGGTCTCTGCAGTCCCAAAGCCCCGGGGCATGGTAAGATGGGTGCAATAAGACTCTTGAAGAAACACAAGCCCAAGTTAAATCTGCTCGTAAAGCAGGGCAGGCTCTGGCCCTGCAGGTGACTCCGTGGGTCAGGTCACATCCTTTCCCTCTCGTTAGCACTGACCAGATCCGCCGCAAGCCGCTGAGGAGCCAAGTGCAGAGTCACTTGTCACAGAGCAGGAGCCTCCCAGCAAGGGAGGCCGCAGCCTCGTAGGGCTTCCTGGCTGTGATGCTGTCACAGGATTCATGTTTAACTACTTTGAATTTGTCACAGACTGGCCCTTGAGGATCCCTCTTCTTTTTCTTACAGAAGAAGAGTGAATTTTTATAATTTGATAGTATCCTTTTTATTTTTTAAAGAAAATGAGCTTTTATATTTTATACTTCTTTCTGAAACTTAGCTCCAATATCTCAAAACATCCCTGCCTTCCTTTCCCTAAAGCAAAAATCTCTTAGAAGCAAAGAGGGGTGGAGTGTGGTGACTCAGAGATGTCACTCTTCTTTTTCAGGTCTTTTAGGGTGCAACGATCTCTCACTAAGTTTTTTCCAATAAAACTGTTTCATCCTCAAGGCTTAAATGCTGTAGCAGTTGCAGGGTCAAAGTTAAAACTGTTTTCTAGGCTCCCTTTTATTCTCACCCGATTCAGTGGTTCTCAATATCAAAAAAAAAAAAAAAATCAGACTATAATCCTGTTGATTAAGACTTTTCCTATCTGATATGACAATAAGAGAATAAATTATTCATACCCAGACAAAGTTAAGGAGTCAGTTCAGCTGCATGGACCAGCTGTTCAGTTAATGCTGGCTTTGTTATTCTCTTTGCAAAGCACTTTGAAAAGGAAACCTGTAGGGCAACCTCTGATTTACTTTCGTGCTACACATCTGCATTTGTCTCACCATGAATCTCACTTCTGTTTGTATTGCAGTTCAGAAAGACCTGTTTTCCCGGGCTTGAACTCTACAGCAGGGTCAAATGAGATGAGCTTCGTGGTCTTGAGTAACATAGGAAGGGTGAGTGTCAGAGCGCTTAAGCATGTGTCTGTTTACTGAAATTGGTAGCATATCTTTAAGTCTCTGGAAAATGAGTAATGATGCCTTTGTTTGAAGCACTTAGACCCTTTCAAAGGCATAACCAAGAAAAATAGCATCTATCAGAGCAACCGATACTCAGTGATTTGCCTTGTTTAATGATAGATGGTTAATGTCTTTTTGAATGCTACAGAGTTTATAACAGTCATGACACTGTGTGCACTGATGGGTGTGCTCAGCTCATGCATTCAGGTTGCAAATGAAACCACAGAGGTGGCTTAAGGGGCCACGTTAAGGCAGAACTAAGGATGTGCCGCTACCAAAGCGGGATGGCCTTTGACACTAAGCAGCTAGGCTGGCTTGGCTGGAGCATGTGCCTTCGTTCTTTAGATGTGGTTTCCTGACTATTTTAAGCAGATCTTGACCTCGCTTCTGAAAGAGGCCATTGCTCCTGGCCATGTGCTGCTGCTGTTCCACTGCTAGCTCTAGGAGTGTGTGGCCAGGAATCTTCAGAACAACAACAAAAAACTGTTTTCAGTCGGATCTGTGCGCTGATCCAACTCCTTCTACAGCTACAAAATGTACAGGAAAGCAGAATAGGCCCTGCTGTAGTGGGAAGTGCTCTGTGATATAGAAGGCCTGGTGTCAAACCAGACTGACAAGGGTAGCCACAGCAAGCAATGATGTGAGGTCAGTATGGACTGAAATTCCAAGCCTATATAGGATGCATGTAGTTGAACCCTGCTGTGACACTTGCTCAGTCTGGAATAATTTTTATATAGGAAAGAAAATAGCAAGCTAGAGTCTTTGGTTTGGTGAGGAGATGGAGGCTGGATGTTATAAAGATTTGTACAAGTCAGGTGCAGCATAGCAAGTGTAGGTGGAGGCTAAATTTATTCACTGCATCTTTCAGTTCAAGAGTTAAGGGGTCAAATGCTAGCAGCAGATGGACGTTTGCTCAGTGTGTATAGCTTAGCTGTGGAACAAGCTTTGCTTTGCCACAAGCTTCTATAGATGCTCCAGGTTTTAAGGGGAGAGAGGACGAGTTCACGAGAGAAGCTCACTGAGGGCGGCAGAGTTCCTGCAGACTGATTCTGCCTCACGAAGTCCTTGACTTGAAAATTGCTGGGAACTGGGCAACTATCCTGGGGAAACGGTCCATCTGCTTGTTCTGTCCTTACGTTCTTCTGTAGGCATCACCTTTTGACCACTGTCAGGAACAGGACACTGAGCTCCACAGCCCTCTGTTTGAGCCAGTGCGTCCGCTCTGATGGTGTCTGCGTGAGAGCAGACCCAAGGCAGCAGGTAGGAGTGTCCGGGGACGAGGGCTGCCCTCTCAGCCACGTGTTGCAATGACTTCAGCTTAATCTCAACGTGAAGATGCAGGAGAACTCAAAGCATTTTGCTTTCCAATTGTAGGGTTTCACCAGGTGTTGGAAACAGATCACTGCCGATGAAAAGGATAGCTCAGCCCATTCTTTTGAGCTCTTTTTCCAGTCTTTGATCTTCATTTCTCCCCACCACATGCCCTGTTCATGTCAATTTGCTGTGATAATGCAAAAAGTTGTTACTTGTCTGTCAGATTAGTGAGCAGAAGCAGTTCACAGAGAGGCTGCGTCATGTCAGCCCCTGGTGAAGCCCCAGGAGTGCAGCCCAGTGTAGGTTGTCAGCAAAGTGATGGAGCAGCTCAGCTATCTGATGAAAACGTAGCTTCCAGCTGTGCACACAGTTCAGCTTAGGTGACAGGTAGTAACTTTGCAAGCTGCTTTAATTGTTTTAGCCTATGTGACTGTACTGAGGCAAAAATTGTAATTCCCATCATATCTTTTGCAATTTTAAAAAAAAAACCTGTCTTTTATGAGAAGTGCAATTGAAAATTATAATGACCAAGGTTAATGCACTATTTTTATTGCATTAGAATAAATCAGCAATGGCTCAATACTTAGCATTTATCAAAACACAGTAATCTACAGCTGCGCTGCAGACTCAGCATCGGTTCATAAAGGATATCTGTAAAAGTGCCTAACTGTTCATATCTGCCTTCTAGCTTCGAATGTTTCCTTTTCCTGAGATAGCCCCTCCTAAGCAGGGTTGCAGTTCAGAGAGTGGAAATCTGATCGTTAAGTGGGTCCCAAGTAAGCATCGGCCGTGTCAGAAGGCGGGACAGCAGGCACTGCCGGAGTGAGTAACGTGCACGGGTACGGCGCGCTCCGCAGCGGGGGCCGAGCGGCCTCACGGGCGCAGGGATCGGGGAGCCCGGGGATCACCCCGGAGCTGGGATGTGCAGTGGTGGCAGCTGCTCTTACTGCGGGATGGGGTGGAGTGATGGTTGTCCAGGGGTGCTCTGCCTGCCCAGCTGCTGTTGAGGTTTTGGCTTTTCCTTTTTTTGTTCATCTCGCTCAGCCCACTTAAATCAGCGTCTGTCTCTTCTTGCCCTCCTTGCCTAGGCTGCCTTCTCAGTCAGTTGCAGTAGGCCCGAGGACTGCTGCAGAAAGCACTGGATGTTAAAATATCCAGACATCCTGTGGTACTGGAATGTCTCGCAGTACAACCTTTCACTAGTGTAATTGAGGGTTCAGAGTGCCTGGGGAGGAATGGGGCTGTGAGGTTACCTGCTGCTCACTGTGCTTTTATTCTGCTCTTATTCAGGTTAAAGCCTGTAAGGCAGATAAGTGTTAAAGATCTTGCCTCCGAAAGTCTTATTGACCTTAAAGAAGTGCAGAGCCAAGGTGCTGACCTGGTAAGCTTTTGAGGTGTTTGTGTCACCTTCTTAGACTAGATCTGTAGCCAGCCTGCTGTCCTGCGGGCTAAAAGTGTCAAAAGTGAAAAAGAAGGAAAAAAAAAATATTCTTATGGGTAGGTGTTCAAGAGTCAGTGTCTGCTCACAGCCTTCTGAGAGTAAGTTAGGCCGTGTAGGCTGCTTGCTGTGTTCCTGAAGAGAGACCACGGTTTGCTCTGATAGCCCTTTGGCTGCCCTGAACACTGCAGGGCTGCAGAGGGCTGCTCTGCCAGGGCCCACACGAAAACCTTTGCGCAGGGCGTTTCTGCAGTGACCAAGAGGCATTGCTCAGCTTTCAAAGGGATCGTTTCCAAGTGGATTGAGGACAACGAGAGAGGGTTAAAGATCAGGTAGTTGAAGTTGCAGGTGGAACTCACTATTGCACTTGCTGCAAAAAGCAGTGTATAGTGAGCCTCTGAGTTTTCTGCTTTTTAACAAACAGATAAGCAGTTTAATCAAACAGATACTGAACAGTTGGCCTATAAATGTTATTTGACACTGAATTGGGCTGATCATGTTGTACTTGTGATTGGACCACATGTGTGAGTTATCCTGTTCTCTTGCCTTTGAAGAATTGATCATTATGAACTGAGGCTATGCCCAGATATTTCCCAGATATCTGATATCTCCTCTAGAAGACATTTTTCCTGGAGAGGTGGCTACTAAGGGGACGGAAGCATTAAAGACCAGACTGTTTTACTGTGAATGTTCCCTTCCTCAGAGAAGAACAAAATCCAAGAAGACCCTTGCAGGAGGCCAGCGCAATCTTTCGTATCCTAAGAGAAGCCAGTTACTTAGCTACCCATCCAAAACAACAAAATCACTTGTAGACTGCAAAACTGAAGGGTAAGCCATTTTCTGAACTCCTCATAGCAACGTGCTCTGACAGTCAGGGTTTTAGTCCCTGCCTTATCTGCAGTGCTGCAATGGCATCTGCAGTGACTGCACAGGTGGAGTGTGGTAGGGCAGGTGGCCTGACTTGCTGCCTTATCCCCTCCCTGCCCTCCTTGAGTGGGTCACTTCCTCATTTCTGCAGAGGGATTGAAGATTGGGGGGGAATTCCTGAAGGCAGAAGTGTATGAAGACAGAGGGCAAGCAGAGAGAATTCCTTGTACTGTTCTTCTGCTTAATCCAAAGAGTGCAAAGATCTGTTTTCTTTAGGGTCCAGTCAGCCCAAAAGGTGCCTAGCTGACAAGGTAAAGGGATAAAAAAAAATCTACTAGTGAGTGTAAAAAGAACCAATGTTATGTATAAAGCCTGAATCCCCGTAATAAGACACTTATCTTCTGTTGTTATTGTCTCACTCTGAGTTTCTGACTTCAACCTTTCCCCTTTTGGTGCCTCGCTTCTTCAGCCAAAGCAATAAAAAACTTTCTGCCTTGTGTTCAGTTTTGCAGAAGAAGATGGGATATTAAGCCAGTCTTGCCCGGAACGGCTGCAGATTGCAAACATAGTGGAGCTGCAAGATGAGGGTGCCCTGAAGCTGATGAACAGGCAGCCAGGCTTTCCTCATGCTAAATCAAAGTCATCCCGTCCCCTGCTAGTGCAAAAGGTACCTGCTTTGTATTAGCTCTGTGAGAAAGTGAGGGCCTGCATGTCCTGAGCTGCTGTGGAGAGGGAGCACAGTGTCCTCTGGGTGTCCTCTGCAGTGCTTAGTGCCCAAAACATCGGGGGCTTTTTCAGTGGATGTCACCCTCAGAGCCCCAGGCCTGCTCCGGTTGCTGTTTAAAGACATGAAAAGGCCTTTACTGTCTTTAGCAGTAAAACACAGCCCTGGCTGCATTAGATGCTCTACATTTGCTTTGTCAGTGATGAGTACTCTTTTTGTGAAGAAATTCTTGTGTGAAGAAATTCTTGTTGTAATTTTCAGTCATCTTCTCATTTGAATGTAGTGAGGAAGCTTCGTGAGGAAATGGTTTGACATCTGCCCTCTACATTGTGCAGTACATCAGTAAAATGTACACAGTTTCTGAGCCAGAAAGACCTACAAAAAAATGCTTCATTGGCCACATCATCTTCAGAGAGGCAAAACTCAAGCTGTATTTCCTGGAGCAATCTTTAATCATGATTTCTGACCCCAGGAAAGAGATCTACAGAGCTGCCTTCTGAGCAGCCCTATTGTTTGTTGTATTTCTGATGCTATCACAAAGAGCAGCATAAAGAGCCAAGTGAGCACCCACACTAGGGCAGTAGGTGATGACAAGCTGCCAGATAAGCCAGGCTTACCATCATATGAATAATCTGAGTACAAACACCTGGCCGTTGTGAAACGTTCAACCTTGATCATTAAGGATTCTCTATCATGACAGCTGTAAAAGTACAACATACCTGTCTAGCAGAGGGCTTCAAGGACAGATCATTAAATAGTTTAAGTTCAAAGGCTGATAGCAAGACATCTGTGGCCAGATCTGAAAAGAATCTATGATTTTTATGTTGAGAAGCCTCCCAGAAGGAGTGCTAGTCCCCAAATTTAAATCCATCCAAAATCTAACTTCTCTCTTTCCACTTGGTGCTGACTTGAGCACTGTTCCAACATCAGTGTTTGGCAGCATCACGCATAAGATCAAATGATCATAAGCTTGTGCTCAAAAAATCCAGAGTGAGATTTAGAGAACAAGGAGATGTAAGACACTTTGAGCAATTCTCTAATTAGCAAGGAAGAAACAATCCCAGCTATATTCAAAACATGTGTTTTCCTATTTTCTCTTTTCTGCATCTCACTTTTCATGCAACTATAACTCTTATGTCCTGTTTGAATATACTTGTCTTTAACTTGCCTTATATTTAAACTGCCTTTAGGTGCATCCAAATAAGCCAGGGCATCTTGTTTGCTTGAGAATTGTGGATCTGCACGAAGTACTGCTCGTACAACTCCTTTGGAGAAGCTTTCATTTCTAAAATTACCCGGTCCCATAAAGCATGTCTCTGCCTTTTTTGGCTTGGACAGGGTTTTAATCTCTCGGCTGGGAGTTGTGCTCCTGGGCTGATTCTTTGCAGCGCTGGGCTAGCTACTCGCTCACATCATCAGAGGGGCTTTGTGCTGCGTGATACCCGCAATGAAAACTGGTATTCTTTTATCTTGTTTTGTAATGACTGTGGCCTTGACAAATGTAGTTGTGCTATAGATGTATGAATTCAAAAGATTGCTGAGATCATGCATCTGATATTTCACTTTGATCATGTCACCTCTTCCTTTTGCATCCTTCCACTGGTTCATTCTTTCTTTTTTGATATCAAACATAGGAGCCCACCTTTCATTTCCAGGCCTGCCCCTTTCAAAGCAAGCACTGAGTCTCAACACCATCTCAGCACCTTACTATGGAGACTGATGAGGCAGCTTCTGGGAGCTGGGAGGGAAGCAAGAGGGCCTGCTGGGGCAAGAGGAAAGAAAACATTATAGTGATGACTACAGCTGTTAGCTCAACTGTAACTTATTATACATATATTTTTTTCCTGCTGACTAGGCTCCTGTAATGGTGAATTTGAAAGAAAAGAATGCGCAGGGAATCAAAACCAGTCAATATATGAAGAAACCAATAAAAATTAAAACCAGACCAGGTATTAAGATAAAAATTTCAGGTGTGCTTATAAGTACTTCTAGTCCATTTCTGTATCAGAGCTGGTTCACATGCAGCCCCATGTGTCTGGAGGTGCCTCCCCACAGAGGCAGCATTACCAGAGGGTGCAGAGGGGCACTGCGTGGGACCCTGTGTCCTGCCTCAGTTCTCCTGGCTGGTAGCCGTGTCTCCTTTCCCCTGCTTGCAGCTTTTGTGAGTGAGGGGCTCGTTCAAGGGATGGCTCTTTGCTACAGGCTGACCAGTCTGTTGTGCTGTGCCCAGGCAGGGTGCCCTTACGTCTCCTTTCGAAACTGGAGGAACAGCTCGACTGCTTGAGAAAGTCAGCGTTTCCTGCTGAGTTTCTACAGCGCTACACGGATGGTGGCCACCAGCAGCCCTCTGGCCTGCTGGCAACGTCACCCAAAACAGTAAGTACTGGATTCACTCAGAACTGGAGCTGGAATCTGTTTTCCTCTCTGGCCCGTCCCTGGTATTGTGGTTTAGGCAGAGCCCTGTAAAGCCTCAGGAAACAGAGAGCACCTAGATCTTTAACTGGCCAAAGCAGGGACTTGCTCAGAGCAGTCACCCTTGTGTTTGTCGTGAACATCTCAGGAGCAATTAGAAGAGGAAAGGCCACCAGCAGCTCGGAACTCAAACCAAATGTCTCCTTTCTTTGTTCTCCTGCCCTTGTTCAGTCTTGGTCCTGCATCCCTGTAGTGTGTGCTGAGCTGCTTAGGAAAGTAACAAAGTGGAAATGGTGAGTGTAGCTGCTGCTTACATCTGCTTCAGGAATAGTGTGCTTTCTGTGCAGCAGCGAGCCAGGAGCGGCTCAGAGCTGTGATAAAAGCTGGCATACAGAAGGATCTAGACAGTAATTCCTTCATTTTAGTTTCTTTCAGCACAAGGTCAGGACTAAAGAAAATGCCTGAGCAGGTTTTACAGCAGACCGGTGACTCTGTTTCCGTGGTGTCACTGAGTAGTCACTATGCTCTGCACAAGCTTTTCCCACCCTCTCCTAGCAATAAGTAACCAGGGTGGCTCTTATATCTTCTCTGAGATGTTAATGTCACCTTTAACCTGGCTTTTTATGTGCTTATAGCTTGGCCAGGCGGAGCTGCCCAGAGTTTCCTATTGATGAATGAATGTGTAGTGAAGTTTACAGGAGGTAAATAAAATCACTGTAGCTGTAGGCAGCAATGCGTTGAGAAAGCAAGACACTGTTGAGGGAAACACTGTGGCTGATTCTCCTGCTTGCTGCCCAGTACAAAAGTGCTGCTGTGCATGCTGCCAAGTGCTTGTTCTTCATTCATGCCCCATCTATGACATCTGCGATATTTCTGCCCCTTCAGTTTGCAGAGCGCGTGCGTCGTGGAGAGGAGAATCCTGTGGTGCAGCTGGTGGACGTCTGGAGGAGAAGGCCTCCTGGGAAGTCCGTGCTGGGCAAGAGCTGCCCAGCAAACCTGGTGCCGCTGGGTGAGTGGGGCTGGTGCCGCTCTGCGTCTGGAGTGCGGGAGCCAGGGAGCAGACTGGAGCGTGGGAAGGGCAGGGCAGCTGCTCCTCGGCGCCATCTGTCCGGGCACCGGAGCGTGCTCTGGCTGGCTCATCACTTACCAGGCAAGGAAGCATTTATGTCTTGGGCAACCCGGTATGTTTTTCACCAACACATGGTGCAAAACCAGCGCTTTGTAAGAAAATCACTCAAAAACGCCACATTTGAAGAATTTGCTAGCCCGTGAAAGGGTGGTGGTTTCCTTGTCCTAGCCGAAGCCCTTCAGGGTGATACTGGTCCCATGTTGAGTGCTTTTATCCTCTGGCCAGGTGTTGAAGAGCACGGGCAGCCGTTGACGAGCGCAGGGAGCTGGGACAACATCTCCTGCCGGTGTGCTGTGAGCAGAGAGGACGATGCATGGGCACTGTGCTGCTGCCAGGGAGCCCAGTCTGCAGGCAGAGCAGTCCCGCTATTCAAAGAGGAATTTGAAGATGACTCTTCCTACAAAACACCACCTCCACCTCCTCCTTCTCCTTGCCCACAGGAGGACTATGACAAGGTTTTTTCAGAGAGAAAATTCCTTCCCTTTGAAGGGCTTTCGAGCACTCAAGGCGGATGTCTCTGTTAACCAAGGACAGGAACTTGTCCTGCTACTGGCGCGTTCCTGTCCCAGCTCCTGTCTCCCCTTGTGTTTGGGCCCCCTCACCTGCCCTGTGTTTTCCTCTGCAGACGCAGGGCAGGTGAAGGAAGCAGCTGGGCAGTTATGCAGAGTGTAAATGTTCAGGACAGGTAAAAATCTGAGAGATCTGAAAATAAAAGAAGAGCTTCTTGCGCTCCCACCTATTTCTGTGCTGTACTTTGGCTTCCAGAGAACAAGTCAACAACTCAAATGCCCGCCACAGTTTGGTTTTAAGTACCTAAATATCCTGTGGCAGGAAAAAGGCACTTGCCACCCAGTCCAGAGGGCACCAAGGATTCCCCTTGCTAGCTCGGGGTGTGAGAGGGACTGAGCAGAGCCCAGCTCCAAGGGGAGCCTGTGGGAGCCTTGGCCGCAGGTGGCACCATGGAGGGACGGGGCTGCCTGGGCACGGAGCCCATCCCTCCCACCTCCTCGCGGGGCTATGGCAGTAGTGCCTGGAGTTCTCTGAAGAACAGAGGGGAAATGCATTGTTTTGAGTTCTCAAGGTGCCCTGCAATTCAGGGAGATGGAGTGGGTCTGTCAGTCCCTGTCCCCGCGGGGCTCTCCGGCATGCAGGTGAGCCCAGGAGCTCTGCTAGAGCTCTTGATCGATCGATCTCCTGGGGCCGCCTTGGTTCATCTGCCTGCTGCCCGGCTGATGGCAGCTGCCCCCAAAATGATCACAGTGAAGAGTGGATCCACCTCAACTTGCAAGTCGGATCTCCCCCTTCAACCCTTCAGAGGCTCTCGGGGCACCAACCCAATGCAGTTTGAAGCAGGAGAGGACGTTTGTCCATCTGTCTGTGAGAGGAAGTGCCCCCTAGCTTTAGCCCAGCCAGAGCCCCTTGAAGAGGGGAGTCTGAGTCCTGGAGCTGCCCAGACCGGGCTCTTGGGCGAGCGTCCAGTGCTGCTACTGAACCAGGTAGGGGCTGCCTGTCCTGCTTGGAGCTTGGCACGCTGTGTTGTGAAAGATGGAAAGAGCTGTGGACTGCTGTTCCTGCAGACCGCAGGGTCTGAGCAGAGCGGGCAGGAGGCTTCTGAAGCGGCCCTTGTAGCGAGGGAAACTTCTCCAGGGTCCCAAATGAGAAAGAGATTCAGCATCAGCTGGTCCGCGGCTCTGCTGAACTACCCTTGGTGTTTTGCAGGGCCGTGCCCGCCGTGGAGGTGGCACTGGGGAACGGGAGCAGCCCCCTTTGGCCCCTAGCAGCAGTGCTCGCTGCTCCCCAGGACAGAGGTGGTGGCGGTTGCACTGCTGGCAAATGCACGTGTCTGTGTGTGCCTGCCCTGTGCAGCAGATTTGGCTAATAATGAAGCTGCCCACAGGATTGCCCCTAAATATCCCAAGCTTATTCCATCCCTAAAAATCCACTTTTCATTTGGGAAGAGGTAGTTTTTTCCTAGCCGGTACCATTCAATTTCTGGTCAAAGCAAACTTCAGCCTGGTGTTTTTATTTGTACATGCTGTATCCCGTTGCCTGGAGTAAATGTCTAAGCTCGTATTTGGATTTGAATACTGAGCCAAAGGCAGAGCCTAATGCTGGCAGACTGAAGTCTCTAACGAAGAACTGTGTTAAATTTTAAAAGAAAGTCATTAACTCCCAAGCCAACGGGCTGAGTGTTCAGTCTGCTGGAGACTCGAGGAGAAACTGCAGGTTAAGGTCAGTGCCCAGGAGATGAAGAGGGAAGTGAAGAAGAATCCCAGCCCTGCCGTGGGGAGCCTGCAGAGACAGGGGCTGTTCCACATGCAACTCCACTGTCTCCTTGGGGCACCCAGTTTAATTTTTAACTTTTTAACACTGGAGCTCTGCTCTTTTGAGACATTTTTCTGTCAGGTTTTCTGCCTCTTCTTTCGTTGCTTCCAGGTCAAAGGCGTGAGCAGGGGACCCCAGTGCTTGGACGTTGCTGGAGCGAGCGGCCGTCCTGCGTGGGACTCATGGAGCAGCAGGGAGAGCCAAGGCTGCCGCGTGAGTGCTTGGGTGAGTCCTGTTTGCAGGGCTGGCCTGTCTCCTGGCTGAAGCGCGAGTTGTAACTGTGCAGGTGCCCAGTTCCCCCGGCTGGGCAGATCCCCGCACTTGGAGGTGGTGAAGGACCCTGTGTCCTGCACGCCCCTCGTGGGGTGTCAGGCCGCCCAGCTCCTGCGGGCTCCTGTGGGCTGGGGCAGGGGGAGGCTCTGCCCTAAGGCCGGGTGCTGTGGACGGGCCTGCCGCCTTTGAGAGCTGGCCTGATGTTCATGGCTGGAGAGCTCTGAGCCCTCTAGGAGGAAGGTGCATGGGACTCCCATGGCCTTGAATCCACACAGTCTCAGAGACTCTCCCTTACTATTATTATTATTATCTTTCCCCTTTCTATTATTATTATCTCCCCTTTCTATCTATCTTTCTTGTTTTCTATTTTTCTAATGGGACCCAAAACTTAGCTAATGGGATTCCTTCCCGAGACCCGTGGCACTGGCTCAGGGAATGTGTGGGAGCTCAGGGTGGCTCCCTGGCTTGCTTCTCTGATGGGGCTGTTTGGTGCCAGACATCCAGTGGGTCAAGATGTGATGTGCTGGTCACGATCCTGCCCCCTAGGAGCTCCACGTGGAATGTGCCCGCAGGAAGCCTGTCTGGGCTCTCTGGGGCTGTGAATGTCTTGGGAGGCCAGAAAAGCCGCGGGCAGCCTTGGCTGCCTGCTAGGCTGGGTCCCCTCGGGGCTCCCGCCGGTTGCCGAGGGTAAGGCTGAGCACCGCAGCCCCAGCGGAGCCGAGCTCTGTCTGGAGCCCTCAGAGAATAATGTCTCGTGAAGGGTCTCCCCTCCCAGCACCCCAATGGGCTGTGATTTACGAGAGCAGAGGTACAATAGGTGTCTTCTGGCCATGATGGTAATTTCTCTGTGCAGTGGGGCTGTGGCATCCTGGAGGTCTGCTGAGTTGGCAACCTGTGCCCCGGTTGTGCCAGGGGCCCCATGGGCACAAACCCCATGAGGCAGCTAGAGGCGATGGTGCCTGTGATGTCCCCTGTGTCCCAGCTCCCTGCGCCTCCACGTGCAGCCCCCGCATTGCCTCAACTCCCCCTTCCCTTTCTGTGGCAGGGACGGGGCAGGGGCGCAGGCTGCCGGAGCGCGGCCCCTCGCCGCCCAAGGGCCAGCGCAGTGCTGTGCAGCCCTCCCTGCCGAGGCGGAGGGAGCCACTGGGAAGCAGGAGGAGGATCAGCGTGTCACGAGTGAAAGGGAGAGGTGAGTGGGGCCGGGGGCACGCGGGGCTGTGCGGCAGGGCCAGGCTGGCGCGCAGGGCTGGGTGCCCATGGGGACGCGCAGTGAGGCCAGGCCAGCGCTCGGGGCCGGTTTCGCCTCTGGCAGCTGGTGCCCAGCACGGTGGCTGTGGCCCTGGCAGCACCCAGCCCGCTCCCTCCCGAGTGCGGGGGGAATGCAGCGGGGTGACGGCGAAGCCCCTTCTGCTGCGCACGCGGCTCTGCTGTTGCTGTTGGGCTGGCCTGGGTCCATCCTGGACCTGTTTCCTGAGCATAAGAGGGGATCTTCCAGAACGGATGAGCATTTCCCTGGAGCTTTTTGCACCTGGCTCTGCTCCTGCAGCACTGGGGAAGGGAGGGCAGCTTGCCGGGCCTCTTTGGCAGCAACCAGCAAGCCGCACACAGAGCCCAGGGGCTGAGCCCTCTCCGGCGGCTCGTCCCCAGCGCAGGGCTGCTGCGGGACTGGGAGGGCCGAGCGCCGGCCGCGTCCCCGCGTGCGGCCAGCCCTGTTTGCTGAGGCAGGTGCGGCCGCCGTTCAAATTCCGCAGGGCCAATGGGAGCCGCGGGGCCGCCGCGCGCGACGGTTGGACACGCGCTCCTGGGAAGGGCGGCCGCGCCGGCCGCCTGGTGCCAGCGGCCGCCGGCATCAACGGCCGCGGGTGCCCGGGGGCAGCGGGGGCTGCGGCTCGCGGCCCGGCCCGCCATGGAGGCCGGCACCGTGCACAGGGTCTCGCTGTGCAGCCGGCAGGCCCGCCCGCTGGGGACCTCCTTCTTCCTCAGCACCTTCGGTAAGCGGGAGCCCAGGCGTGCGCAGGTGGCCAGGGCAGCCGCGAGGTGCCAGGGCCGGGCGGCAGCGCCGAGCTGCTCCCGGAGCTGCCACGCTCGCTGCGGCCTCGCGGGGCCCGCGGGTGCCGGGCAGCAGAGCCACCACGACGGGCTGTGGCGGGTGGGCTTTTGCCCCCGCGAGGGGCACTGGCTGGGGTGGCTCTGTTGAGCAGCCTGGGATTGCAGTCCCTGCTGTGGCCTCCTCTGCTCCTCGTGGGCTCCTGCTGTGGCTGCTTCAGCTTTGCAGGGGACTCCTGGGCTCTGGTGGCCACGAGCCCAACCTGTGTGTAGGTGGCTGTGGTGGCCTTGGCTTGTGCTGCCCTAGCGCTGTCCCTTGGGTTTGGGGCCAGCAGCTGTTGCATTATCTGGGTGTCAGGGACCATCTCCACTCCTCCAGAGTGCTGTGCACGTGGGCTCCTTTTTATTCCCTGGCACAGGGGACCGTTGGGTTCTATGCAGGATTTTCCCTCACTTGATGTTGGCTCTGCCCTGGGCCCTGGCACGGAGCCTGTGGGCCCCTCATCTGGTCTTGGGCAGGTGGGGGCAGCACGGAGGGGCCAAGCAGCATCACGTAGCCCTGGGGGACATGGGAAGTGCTGGGGTCCCTGCGTTGGGCCAGGCATTGCCCTGGCATCCCCGGGGGTTGTGTGTGTGGTTGGGGACACCGCAGCCCCGGGCAGCTGCGGTGCTGCTCCATTGCTGCCTGCCATGGTCCCTCCTGGCCAGGCTGCCCAGACCAGCAGGGACGAGGGACTGGGCTGTGCTGCCTTGGCATGGCGTGCCAGCCCTGGCTGCGGCCCAGGTAGCCGGTCGCTGCTCATGTTTCTTGGCTCTCTGCTCTTGGCCTTTTAGTGTCCAGCTTCTTAAGACCTGGAAGCTGAAGTCCTCCTGTCTGCCTTTCCAGGGGCTGGTGTGTGCCAAATGATGCCAATTTTGCAGTACAAATAATCAAACACGGGCCACGTGTCCTCTTTGCAGCCATGGTTGCCATTGCTGGCTGCACTGCCCACCGGTGGGGACATGTGGCCTTGGGACACAGGGAGCAGCGTGTGGCAAGGCCAGCATGGGCCTCTCGGTGGCGGTGCGCGAGGACAGAGCCTTTGGGCCAACCTGAGGTTGGGAGTGACAAGCAGCTGTAGGTGCCCTCCCGTGTCCCTCTGGGGACTCCCCACCCCGACCACTATGCAGTGCAGATGTCCCCATTGCTGTCCTGGCAGCAGCTTCACTCTGAGCTTTGCAGGTGCTCGGGAGAGTCGGCTGCAAGGGAGCATCATCATCTGCTCCCCACGGGAAGCTGCGGGAGGCTGCGGTCCCGTCTCCTGCATCGCTCCCTCCCTTGGCCTGGTCCCAGTGCTCCCAGTGCGCTGCGCAGCCCTGGCAGCTCCCGGGCCCTGGTCCGTCCTCTGAGCTTCCTCCCCCAAATCGCCCGGCACAAAAGCTCCCTTTCTCCTCCCAGGGCCCGTTCATGACCCGCCTGACTCCTCGTCACGCTCGGTTGGACCGCAGCACTTGGCTTGTGCTGCGAGGGCTGTTAAATGGGAACAGCGGCTGGAGGAGGCCTTTCCCACAGCTCCGAGATGGGTGAGAGCGCAAGGGGGGATGCCGGCTTCAAAAGGCTCGGCTGACTCTCAGGGCAGGATAAAACTGGGGGCAGGATAAAACTTCCCATCATTGCAGATCAAATTTGGGCTTCCACAGAGCTGCTCCCCGACCTGCTGGAGTCCATCGCTCGGCTGTGCCCATTCGCACGTGTGCGTGCACGAGGCCACCTGCATCTGCACACGTACGGGCAGACACACGTGAGCTGGGGAGCTGGCAGCAGGTTTCCTGCCAGGGCTTTCGGGGTTAAAATGAGATGCCAGCTCTCCCGATTGTTTCGGGTTGAACAATCCTGTCGGAAATCCTCCTGAGAAAACCCAGGCCCGCGGGTGTGGCCTTTGCAAAATGCAGCCTGTTTTGTTGGAATTGAAACAATCCTTAGGCATTAGTAAATCATGTTTATCAATGTGTTTAGTTTGGACTGAATGAAACTCTGTAAAGTGCGCAGTGGCGTCTTACCCTGCAATTTGGGACGCCTGGTTTTGGACACTCTGAAGTGGCCATGTGGGTTTTGGATGCTGTATCACCCCTCAGATCTGCCCGCGGTATTTGGGGCACGTGGTCAGGTGCCACATCCTAGCAAAGCCTCTGGGGCAGCGTTTGGAGTCCTCTGCACCCGGGGACTTTGCACCTAGACCCTGGGAGCCGCCTTGGCCAAGGCCTTTCACTGCTCTAGATATTGCACGTGTTTAGGGCCGCCTTGCAAAGCCAGGTCCGGGTGCGCTCGGCTCTCTGCTGCTGGGAATCAGCTGCCGCAGACGGGCCAGGCGGTGCCAAAAAGCACAAGTGGCGCTTGCAGATAAGAGCTGGGAACCCGCGGAGCTGGCAGGGCCCTCTGCAAAGCAGTGGGAACCGCGGGGTGGGCTTGGCGCTGTGTGAGAGCCGGGTTTCGCCCGCGGTGCCGCTCTGGAGCTGCGGAGCCGGGAGCTGAGCAGCCTTCGGCAGCTGCCGTCACCACCGCAGGTGGCCACCAGGCGAAGGACTCCTGGGGATGCGGCACCTCGGCCCTTGCTGCTCTCTGTGCTTTTGCATAAGTGCCCACTGAAATAACGTGATTTCTGTCCAGCGTTGTCATGCAGCACTGAAGGTGCTTGGCGGGTGCCTGGCTCATCCCTTGTTCCCTCTGCACTCCCCGTCCTACCTCCTCGGGCAGCACCGTGTGCTTGGGATGGGCTGAGACTCCTGCAACAGGCTCGGTTTGGGCTGTGATGGCTCTGGAGCAGGCATGGACTGTCCAGGCTGGGCCATGTCCATCTCCATTGTTTCTTCCCTAGCTCCTACATTTTGATTTGATTCTGTTCCTGTTGCCAGGCCATTCCCCACCTGGTCCTGAGAGCCCAGGAGCAGCTTTGGGAACCGCAGGGTTGGAGCTGAAGGCACTGCGGTGGCTTTGGGCTCGAGGTGGGCACATCTGGACCTCAGCCCCGCTCCGGGCTCTGCTCGTGACGATGCTGAACGCGGGGTCCCCTGTGAGCTTGGCGTGCCCGAGCAGCCGGGAGCCTTGGGGGCGCAGGGAGGAGACCTGCGTGCAAACAGGTCCCCCGCGAAAGCAGGAGTGTGCGGTGGTGTGTGTGCAGGCCATCTGCAGCCTGGCCTGCTGTCACCCTCCCCATGGGTGCCCTCCCTGCCCTGCGCGGGAGCCCAGCGAGGTGCTGGAGGCAGCGTCTGAGCGCGCTGCACCCAGGCAAGGGCTAGTCTGCCTTGCAGGGACTTGGTGCTTGGTGCTCCCTGTGCCCCTCGTGGGCTCAGAGCTCGTGCCAGGGCAGCTTCCTGTGTGCTGAGGAAACACCCCTCGTGTTTCCCTGCAATGTTGCTGCATGCAGAGCAGGAGCTTTTCTTTGTAGCAGGAGAAGGTGCTTCCTGCCCACCCCTTCCCTCGTGTCCCTGAGCGATGCCCTCGTGCCCGGCAGCGGGGAGGCAGGACGGGGCTGGCCTGGGCAGGGCTGGGTGCTGGGGGGCTCCTGCAGCGCCGGGCGCGAGGCGCAGACCCCGCTGCTCACGTCTGCGCTCCCCTTGCTTGCAGGGCGGCTGAAGCTCTCGGCGGAGGCGCGGGGCCGCGTGCTGGTGCTGCACGGTGAGTGTCACCCGGCGCGAGCGGCGCGGACGGCAGCACCGCAGCCCCTTCCTCGAGCGCCTCGGGAGGCCTCGAGAGGCGGAGGGCAGTGACCACGGCACAGCCCAACGACCAGGGGTCTCTGGAACTCCTGGGGAGAAAAACATTCTTTAGGAAAGAAACCTCGAAACACTTTTTCCATTCCGAAAGGCCTTTTTTATTGCCCAAACCCATTTACCAGACTTTGCTGGGATTTTCATGTAGTTCAGGTGCTCCCAGACACTGCATCTTTTTTGCTGCTTAAAATACTTAAACAAGTATGCAAAGAGCATTTCCCTGGGCCATTCTGGGGTTGCCCATCCTCAAGCCACAGCCTGTCTCACAGGGCGCAGGAGAGCACTACCGAGAGCCCCTTCCTTCCCCCAGGGGCTCCAGCCCAGCTGTAATTCCCCAAATTGGTGCAGTTCCAGCTGCTCCTGCCAAGCTCTCCAGGCCAAGCCATCCCCTCCGAGGTCAGGCCACCTGTGCGAGGCGACCGGGCTGCGGCACCCAGGCTGCCTGGCCCCTGGTTCCTGCTTTCAGCCCCTTTTTTGTGGCCCCAAGGTCTTAAACCTGGATCTCCAGGGCCGTGCGGGCGCTGCCATGCGGATGCCGCCCCGGGCTCACGCCTGGGCAGCCCAGGGCTTCCCTCTTGGCAGGAGGGAACGTCGCTGTCCGCTGGACGGGCTGCGGTTGGGATGCGGCCGCTGATGTTTAACTGGATGGTACATTTGGCTGCGGGGCAGGGAGCCCGGCGCTGTGTGAAGTCGGGCACATGAAATGCAATTTGCCACGCGGATACTGAAGCGCATCTGCCTCTGACTTCCTGCACAGGCGCCGGTATTTATAGCAGGGGGTTGTTAAAGCCCAACTACACCTCAAATGCTGGTGTGTTGGCAGTGCCTCAGGGCTGGGCTGGAGGGGAGGCACGTGGGGACCCGTGGGGTGGGAGGCTGGTCCGGCCCGCTCGAAGGAGCAGGACATGGAGCGCAGGGAGATGCCTTTGCTGCGAGCTTGGGGCTTAACCCTTTCCTTTTCTTACCAGTCATGGAAGCAAAAGGTCTGTTGGGAAAGGAGAACCGGCCGTGTGACTCCTATGTGAAGGTGAGTTCTCCCGGGGCTCTGCTCTGGGAACATCCTGATGTCCTAGGTTTGGGGGCTGGCTCTGTGTGCCCTGGGCTCCCTGGCTCTTTCTCATCCTCCTCAGTCTCTCGCGTTGAGCAACCTTAGTGTGCAGGGGGATGGCAGATCCCCAGCTGCCAGCCGGGTCCTCTTCTCTGTGTGTCCGTCTCCGTGCTGTGCGCAGGGAGCATCTCCCCTGCACGGAGCAGCCAGCAGCGTTTGTGTGCGTCGACCCCTTGTATTTCTGGTTGTAACTGAAGCGCCTGCTCTTTTCACCTCCTGAAGAACCTTGTAATTTAGTGACTCGACACACGTAGGGTAAAGCGACCCGAAGCAGCCGCTAGCACGGGTTCGGCTGGTCCTTGAGGCTTAGCCACCCGTGCAAGCGGCGGTGCTGGCGTCCCGCTGCGGCGGCAGAGCTGGCAGCTGTGTCCCGGCCCGTTTGCGCCAGCACGACTAACACGCTGCTTCCTTCTCTAAAGATGTCGATCGTGCCGGATGTCAACTGGAAATGCAGGCAGAAGACTAAGACTGTGCCGGACAGCAAGAACCCCGTCTTCCACGAGCACTTTCTTTTGTGAGTATGATGGGGCAGAGCTGGCTCTGGCCCCAACGTGGTTCCCATGGGGCAGGGGAGCGGTGTGGCTGCCGGCCCGAGGCAAAGCCCTTGCGGACAAGACCCTGCGATTGCTTTTGCGTTGTTGTTATCTGTAACAAACACACATCGCGCATGAGCAGCTCCGCTGCTGCGATGAGGAGTGACAGACATTATTCTGCTGTTTCTTATAGTTGAAATGCCGTGAACTTCTGGGCAGAGCTTTGCCGAGGTTCACAAAGCTGCCAGCTTGTGGCGAGGCTCCTGCCTGGGGGGACTTTCTTGCTGGGTGGGAGTTGGGCAGATGCGCTCCTAGACCCTGTGCCTGCAATGATGCAGGGCTTCTGTATGAACGAGGAAGGTGACAGGATTTCCCTCAGCAGCAGCGCGTCCCTGCGTGGTCAAGGAGCTGTAGGGCACGGAGGTTTCGGTGAAGCTTGCCCTAGCTGGCAAACCAGTCTGAGACCTTCGTCCTCACGCCGTAGCTGGTCTGTCACAGGGTGGTTATTTCAGAGCATGAGTTGGGGCTTGTTCTTTGTGCTTGCTCTTTGCTGTCGGGTATGTGTCTTCCTGCATGACTGTTGTCTCCTGGAGCCACCTCAGTGCTGTCCCCAGCACCTGCCCGAGGGAGGTCGCATCCCTCGGCAGCCTTTGGCAGGAAGGAGTGTCCTGCTGTTCAGCGGCTCCAGTCGGACAGGCAGAGCTCCTCGTTATGTAAGAAACACGGAGCTTGCAGCTGCGTTAGTTTTAGTGAATCAATGCACAGTGACTCGTTTGCAAAGGCTGCTATTTGGGGTGACTGCTGCAGTGCTGTGTGCGAGGAGGTGCGTGAGGGGTCTGCGTCCCAAGGGCGGCCGCGCTGAGTGGTGCTGACAGGCTTCCCCTCTACCTGTTACAGCCCGGTGCGAGAGGAGGACGAGCAAAAACGCCTGCTGGTCACAGTGTGGAACCGCGAGAGAGATTCCAGGTAAGGGGCTGCTGGGCTGCACTTTGGTCCGTGCAGGACTGGGCTGGTGTGGTGGCCAAGCTGCCGTGCACCCTGGCCACACCGCGGAAGCCCCGCCGTGCTTGGTCCTGCTGCTGGGGCCGCTGTGTGCGGTGGCTGCGGGCTGGCCGGGACCGCGGCTTGCAGCCCAGGGCTGTCCTGTGCAGCCTGCACGACAACAAACCTGCTCTCGCTGCCCTCTGCTCACGGAGCCGCTGCTCGCTAGCCCTCAACCTGGCCAGCGCTAAAAACCAGCCCTATTTTGTCATTATAAGCTCACATCTTGCAGAGCAGGCAGGCTCCTTGCTGCTCTCCTGGCTGCTACCTGAAGGGAAGGAGACCGGGGCACTAAAGATGTTGCTTCTTGGTGTGAAGCAATTGAGGACAAAGCCCAGAGGCAAGGGGTCTGGCCCTTGGCAAGGTGTCCTGTCTGCTCCAGCATGTGGCTTCTGCCTCTTTGGCAAAGCTGCTGCTCGCATTAGGCCTCCATGGGGCTCTAGGACTCGGGCAGGCTGGAGGTTTTGATGAGCAGGAGGCCTAAGTCTAGCTGCTTCTTGCCCTGGTGGCAGCCAAGCGGTGACCCCGATGCAGCTGCAGATAAAGCCTGGAAAGGAGGGAGACGTGTCCTGGGCTCTGGCAGGGGTGTTTGCGGGGGTCCCGGCGAAGCGTGGCCCGTGGGGAGCTGATGCACAGGCTCAGCAGGCACGTGCTGACCTTCTCCCACTCTCCTCCAGGCAGAGCGAATTGATTGGGTGCATGAGCTTCGGCGTGAAGTCCCTCCTGACGCCGGACAAGGTACCTCCGCACCAGACGTGATGCACAGCACTGGGGCTCTCCTCGAGCCTGGAGATACTGATCATGGGCCAGGGTTCTGAGGAGGTGGTGGGGAAGACACATTGTCCCCTCTGAGGCCATTCCTGGAGGTTACAGTGCCAGGAGGTCTGTGTGCCCGTCTGTGTGATGCTGCTGCTGCCCCAGCCTGGCTGCTGCTTGGTAGTGCAGCTTTCAGCTCTGCTGGATTTGCCTTCCTAAAGAAGCCTGTGGGGCCTGCTACCCTCTTCCAAAATAAAGGGACTGCTAGAGAGGGACGGGGCTCAGACACTCAGGTCAGTGTCTGAGACACCCGAGCAGCAGATGTGTGACTGGAAGGTGCAAAACTCAGCCCTGGGCAGGTGAAGGATCACAGGTGGGACCCCTTTCTTTCTCCCATGGGAATGTGATTCATTGGACCCTTGGGCTTGCTTAAGGGCACTTGGTCCCTCCACCTGTTCCTTTTCCAGGAGGGCATCCTGGGAGCCAAGGCCAGCTCTGTCCCCTTGACTGCTGAGGGGTCCTTACGGGTCCTTGACCACGTGGAAATGGGAAGTGGGAGGAGGGAGCTCCACCATGGCGCACCCGGCATCGCTGATGTTGAATGTCCTCCTTTGGTGTTAAGGCTAGAGCTGGGCACTCCTAGTGGGACTGGTGGCCATTGCAAACCTGATAGAAATTTTGTTGTTGTTGTTTATTTTGGGGGGATCGGCTGGTTTCCTGCGCCATCCCCCTCTTCCCCCAGGAGCTCCTCACCATGGCCGCAGTTGGCACCTCCATGTAGCAGGCAGGAGCTCCGCAGCTCCGGCTCCAAGGGGAGGTGCTCTAGGCCAGGCCTCAGTGTGTGACAGGTCTGCAGAGTCTTTGTGCTCCGGCCCAGGGACCTTCCTGCCCTGGGAGCCTTTGGGTGGCATCGCCAGCCAGAGTTGAAGGGGCTGAAGTCCTCCAGCCTGCCGCGGGTCCAGTGGCTCCCCATGGGGTCAGCACCCGTCGGTAGTGGGGACACTGCTTGATGGTGCTGCCTAGGGGTGAAGCCCACACAGGGCCACAGGTGCCTGCCCCTGCACTGAGCAGCTTCTCCGCCCCTACCCAGGAGATCAGCGGCTGGTACTACCTCCTTGGGGAGGACCTGGGCAGGACCAAGCACCTGAAGGTGGCTACGCGGCGGCTGAAGCAGAGCAGAGGTGCGACCTTGGCAGCATCCCAGGGTACGTTGGCCTAGCTCAGGAGGGGCATTAACCTGGCACTGGCTCATCCTCTGGCCCCCAGTGAGGACTTCTCAGCTCCGTGATGCTCAGTGGGCAGCAGGATATCAGGGGATGGGGGAGATCCTGACCACTTTGGTAGACCCAACACCAGCACCAGGTTCTTCCCTTCACTTTTCTCTCCTGCTTTGCCCTGCTTTGCTTTGTCTGTGGTTCTCCTTGGGGCACCGATTTCAGAGTGATGTCTCTGAGCCCTTCCTGCCTTCCAGCCCTTTGTTTGAGGGTTCATCCTGGGGCTCCAAGGTCTGTGTAGGCGTTTTCTCCTGCCCCAGTCTCCATGCTGGACTGCATGGAGCTGGACGGGCCGGTGCAGAGCAGGGTTAGGCTGAAGGGACTAACCAGCTGCTCCCAGCCTGGATGAAACCTCCCGCTGGCACACAGAGCCTTTCCAGTGCCTGGGCAAGGTGAGGGGACGTGGGAAGTGAGAGGTTCTCAGGCTGATGCGATTCCATCTATCTTGCAGAGCTGGCACTGGGAAGTCAGGGCGCGGTGTGGGAAGGCCGGGACGCCGCAAACATGGAGCAGCTGAAGGTAGGTGTGACAGGGCTGCCACCCACTAGAGATGTGGACGCCAAGCAGGACTGGAAGCCAGCAGGTGGGGAAGCCGCCCCGGAGAGGTTTCGAGCTAGCCAGGGTTGCATGCTATGTCCATCTCCTTAGCAAAACCACAACTTTTTAAAGCAATTAATAATGCCAGTCAGGTGCCAGTTAGAGTGGGCAATGCAGGGAGTGACCCCTCGTTTGCTCCATGCTGCACCACGTCTCTGCGGTCGGGCTGTGTCTGCTGCCCTCCTCCCCGCGGAGCTGCCTGCTCGGGAGGGGAAAACCCACGGCGGAGCCTCGCTGATTGATGGGAAAGGCGAGGGTGGGAAACGGGAACGCAAATACAAGACCCGTGTCGGAAATTGGGCTCAACAGGCCCTGTGATTTATCTGTGCCGAATTCCGCTTTGCTGCTTCCCTCGGCTGCGTTTTTGGTTATTTGTTTGAAAGCGCACGGCGGAGCAAGACAAACAAAGCTGGCGCCCTGCTCCCTCCCTTCCTCTCCGGCCGTCGCCACGGACTTGAAAGATGGTGCCTGGGAAGGAAGGCTGCTCCTGGCCGGGGCTGGCGGCGGCCCGGGACACGGCGGCCGGAGCGGCGTCTCCGCCGGCCCCCCACACTGCAGGGGCTCCCAGGGGGGCTGGGGCTCTGCATCCTCCTGCTCCAGCCTCGCTTCAGTGGCTGTGCTGACAAATGCAAGGACATTAAGCCTGTGTTATCCCTGTGGAGGAGTGTGGAACGGGCATTTCTGCTCCTTTCCAGTGTGTTCTCCAAGGGGGTGCATGGGGCAAAGACTGCCCAAGGACCGCTCTGGAACCCAGCCCTGCTGCTGGCTGAGTTAAAAGTTTCTCCGTCTTTCATTGCGGGATTAAACCACGGGGCAAATTAGACTGACCCCTAAGCTCCCTCCTCTGTGACTCCCTGCACACAAAGCACCGGGACGTGTTTATCTCAGGGTCTGTGTTTCAAAAACAACCTCTTCTTTATTTGATTGATTGATTGATTTTAAACTCTCTCATCTTCCAACGTGCAAAGAGTGTGCGAGGTATTTTCAGTGAAGCGCGGTGTCGCCGGTGCCTGTGCCCGCGGCTCGAGCGGCCTCGGCGTGTTTGTGAGAACCGTCGCAATAACAAAGCGCTCCGTGCTGCCCAAGAACGCCGCGGGAACAAAAGCCACGTCGACCCCGAGGGGACGAGGGAATACTAAAGAGTTGACAGGAATTTTAATATAAAAACTCTCTCTCTTCCTTGTCACTTAGGGTTCTCAGGAAGCCCTCTGGCTTATCGTAGAGCGGCACGCCGTGCAGGCAGGGGCCGGGGAGGTGAGAGGTGGCTTCCTGCCATTCTTCTCCCGAGCTGGGTTCCCATGGGCGGTCATGCCAGTTTTGCTGGCGTTTTGTTCCACGCTGCTGTGAGCCGAGGAGGTCGGGATCGCCGCTGCCACCACTGCTGCTGCTGCAGGGGCTGCGTTTTCATGGGCTCGCCGCGAGTTTAGGGTTGTGCAGCCATGAACCGCTTCAATGGCCTCTGCAAGGTGTGCTCGGAGCCGCGATACAGACAGGTCTGTGCCAGCGGTGCCGCCGGAGCGGGGGGGAAGCCCTGTGGGGACGCGAGCCGAGAGCATCCCCGAGCTTCATCCTTCTTTTGGGGGCTGTTCTTGCCTGCTCTTACTGCAGTGTGGGATTTGCTAGGAAGGTTTTGCAATGAATAATTTGGGGAATCTATGGAAAATGCCTGTGGATAGGCACCGCTCAGCTCTGCCTGCTGCTGGAGTGTGCAAGAGGGGCGAGACAGAGACAGTTGCTGTGTAACTCGGGCTGGGGCTGCAGCAGTGCTGAGCTGAGAGGTTTTGTCTCAATTTACTGCTCATTTGGGCAGAGCCAGGCACAGCAGGGCCACTGAGCCTCTGCCAGCTTGCTGCTATCTCGCTCTTTTTTTTTTTTTTTTTAATTGCTTTGGCGTGTGTTTGGGAATCGAGTGTTGCTTGAAGCCGGTTACATCCGACAGCGGCTTGAGCGGCGTCGCTGCGCTCCGCGAATCCAGCGCCGTTCCCTGGGGCCCGCGCAGAAGCCCCTCACTCGCTTTGCTTTTTCCCAGCATCCTGCACTTGGAACGCCGAGGTCCCGTGTGGCTGGGATGAGGCTCCCGGCTCCCCATCAGCTCTCCTCTGTGTTCCTGTGCTTGAGTCCCGCTTCGTGTGAAGCTGCATCAGGGGCCAGTGTACACCAGAAACTGGGAACTGCGCAAGAAAACAGCTTGATTAAGAACACTGACTCCTTATCAGGGCTGCAGACACGGGGCAGTGCGGGAACGCTGCTCTGCTCGCACTAATGACAGCAGATGTGATCTGAGTTTTAGATGTGTGCAATTCTCCAATGTGGAGAATTCAGTTCTCCAGTGTGGAATCTCTTCTGCTCCTTTCTCCTGTGATGGGGGCATGTGGAGCCTGACCCCACCACGGTGCTGCAGTCCCACACCTTCCTGTTGCCCACTTCTAAGCTCATCTCTATGTTTCTTATTTAGCACTGTGGCAAAAAACGATGCTCAGGCCCCTGTTCAGGGCTCCAGCAGCACGAGCCGAGTTGTGCAGCGCCAGCAATGGGTAGCTGGTTAGTTAGTGACACAGGGAATGTGTCTCTGTTGGTGATGGACACGAGCCAGCCCAGGAGGAGCTGGGATCTCTCTTGGCGCACGGGGAGAGCTTTGGCTTGAGAAGTGAATGCAGAGCCTCCGTTCCAGAGGCACCCTGAGCTGGACCATCAGGTGCCGATGGTGACGCTCTTGCAGGACTCGGATGCCCCGTGCTTGTAATTTAGCAAGGCATGGGCTTGCTAAAGGGGCAGAGCCACAAGTTGTCTGTTAAGGATTCATCAAAGTCGAGAGAGAAAAAGTACTCAGTATAGTGGGATGGACCTGCTTTCTGATCCCGCTAGGGAGAAAGCACTTCTCTTTTGAAGCCTGTTGTTGCATGTTGAGGATGCAAGCAGGGAAAAGGTGCAGAGGAACGGGAGTTTGCTGGCTTTGCCCTCCGCTGCAAGAGTTTGGAGTGAGTTCTTGGCTGCCTCCTTCTCTCCTCTCTGGCTGCCTATTCTCAAAAATAATATAGGTCAGATGTTGGATTTTGCTTTTGCCTTTCAGTAAAACAGGGAACTTGGCAGATGTCTTGGGGATAATAAGGTATTCACAGGAACAGTCATGCTGAGCTCCTGCTGGAAGCCAAATTGAAAAAATAAATCTTGTTTTATTAATAAGCCCGTTGCTTTGCGAGTCGGGAAGAGATGAGCCTAATGAAACGACATCCGTCCCACCAAGGCCGTGGTGGGAAGGCGGGCTCGCCGCGAGCGCGGGGCCCGCGCAGCCCCTGCGGCACCGCAGCCCCAGGAGAGCGGCGCGCTCGCCCTCCCGCTTCCCGCTGCTGCTGTTTGTGTGTTGCGCGGGTGGGAAGGAAGCGTGCGAGTGCCCTGCTTGGAGCAGCTGCGCTAGAAATCACCGCTGGAGCCAGCGCGCCGCGTTCCTCTTCCAGCTCCTGACAGAGCCTCCCCTCATGGACAGGAGTTGAGAGCAGGGACTTGGATGCTCTCAGTGAGCACTCGCTGTGTGACATCCCTGCCTGATCCTCGGGCATCATTTCATGCAGTTTAAGGCCACTTCCATCCCCTTGGGCTGCAGCTCAGGAGGGCCTGGCTGCCCTTGCAAAGCAATGGCGTTCGTCACAACGGCTGCCCTGGGCCGCTGGATGCGCCGGTGACACCGGTGACGGCACGATGCTCGCTGCTCCCCCTGACCCGGCTTTGCTGGTAACGGGTTGTCTCCGGGGTCCACTTTCAGATCACAATCCCTCGAGGGAGCGATGGCTTCGGCTTCACGATCTGCTGCGACTCCCCGGTCCGCGTGCAGGCGGTGGACTCTGGTAAGAGATGAGATCGCTTTTATCCCTCTTCATTTGAATGAGACTTTGCTGTTCCTCTTTGCTTGCTTGAGTTAGATGGTGCTTCAGAAGCTCCCGTGCTTTGCAGGAACCCACTTACCTCTGAGTAATTATCTCCAGATGACTTCTCTGTTGTCCTAATGAGGAACAGAGGCCACTGGACCAGCTCTGGTTTGCTATTTTCGCTGTGTGCAGTAATTTGCAGAGTTTTTCTTCCCTCTCTAGTTTGAGAAGCATCTGGCCAGCCAGGAGACCTGGAGAAAGTGTGTTATAGAAAGGGAGCAGGATCGTCGGAGCCCTCAGTGTTGCCAGGGCCTGAGCAGCTCCTCTTGGACCCCCAAGGCCCAGGATGTGCTCAGCATCTCTGTCGTCCCCCGGCTCTCCCAGCTGCACACCAGGAGAGGCAGAATGCCCACTTTGAGCTGTTGGCAGTGGAACACAGCAGGGAGCTGTGTCTCTGTAGCTGCTGGCCACAGGCCAGAAGCAGAGACCCATCTGTTTGCTTTTTGACAGAGAAATCATGCATTCCTGAACATTTCCCCAGGAAGTTTCTTTTCTAGATGTAAATTTTTTTCCACCTAGAAAATAATATTTGGGATGCATGTTTTTTGGCTCTGAGTTCCAGCGAGTCCATTATCACTGAAACACAGCAGTATTTCTGTTATCTCTTATGTGAGGAAATAGTTTACAGGTTTGCATGACAAGCGCTGGTCCTGGGGAGAGGTGCTGATAACATTTGATCTCTCAGGACACTTTGTCGGCCTCATCACCAGCTGCCCAGGACACCTCTGCAGTCCCTTCAGACACAGAAGGCGACCAGACCTTGTGATGAGGAAGGGGGACCTCTGCATGGCAGTCATGCAATAAGTGACTGGCTGGAGTGTGTAGGCTGCACACCTCTGGTCCAATGCAGCTCTGATAAACCCAAGCATTTGAGACCGGTGAGCCAGCCACGGAAAGAAAGTCAGATAAAAAAAGCATTTTTGAGGTCTTTTAACTTCCCTTTGTGCTTTCGCATTGATATGTCACCCTTTCAAGTTTTTCTCTAAAAGTAGAAAACGGAAGATTTGATTAGCTGACGTCCATAGGCTGCTGCCTTGTAGGTGCCTAGTTACGTAGAGGGAAAGCGCAAGCTCTGCGCACTTGTCCAGTGGGGCCAGTGGGGTCCTGTGTGGAAGAGAGGGCTCAGAGCGTGAACTGGCTTCACAGCGGCTCAGCTCGGGGCACAGGCACAGACTGTAGCCTCCCGTGCATGGAGAGAAGCTGCATCTCCTCCGGGAAGCTTCATAGGGGTGTCCTCAGGGAGCTCTGTGAGGTGTTGCTGTCTGCTGAGCTTTCTGGGCAGCCCTCTGCAGTCATCGTGTGCTTGGTTTTGCTACGGCTTAGAGCAAAGCTTGGCAGAAGAAGCTGCTCGTTCTCTCAGCTGTGTCCTCCCACTGGCAGACCCAAAGAGAAGGCTATTTGCTGCCGTCCTGCCAAATTCATTACCTGCAAGTTTCTGATATCCCAGCAGAGAGGTGGTGAAAGTATCCCTGTCCCAACAGCAGGACGAGGAGGCTCCTAGTTGTGTCCAGGTCCAGGAGTACAGAAAGCCCTCTGAGCTTTCCTTGTGCTGGAGGGGTTTGTGATAGCTCTGAGATCAATTTATGATTTTTCCAGGCAATGTGTGTACATGTTGGAGGATGAAGTTCAGGAACAACTGGCTCTGCTTCATTTTAGGAAGCTGCTTTATATCCAAGAGAGATTAACATGTGTATGAAAGAGAAACTGTTTCAGAATCCACCTGGACAAATTCCCTGGAAAGGGAATGCAGTGCATGGGCATATGTGAGGGTGTCCCACAGATGGTGTTGGCTGTGCCAGCTGCTCTCCTTTATGGCCCTGGGCTGATGACTCGGTGTGAACATGGCTGTGCTTTGCCCAAGGACTGCAGGAGAAACCTGCAAGTGCCTGACAGGAACGGTTATGATGCTGATTCTCCCAGAATGAAAATGGAGAAACTGCCTTCAGATGTGGAAGAGCTTCGTGAAGAGGGTTCTGGTTTGTTCAGCAGGTGTAATGTGCTCTGAGCAAGCTGCCTCTTTTGGTGGAGAGCTGTCAGGCTCCTGAAAGACAGAGTGGAACAGACCTTCACTCCGGATGAGGCATTTCACTGCTGTAACGATCATGAATGTGTGCTCAACCCTGTGCTGACTTTATCAGCAAGGGTGGAAGGGCAGCAGGTCCTATGTGCCAAAAATGGAGATCTGAAAGTTGAGCAAGTGAGAAGAGTTGGGTTTGGTGGGTGGTAGATGCAGAAGCCAGGGTGATCTGGGGGTCCCGCGGGTAAGGAAGGATGAGGAACATGAATCAGTATGGTATCCATCAGGGAGAGAAGAATGAACCACAGGGAAAGAGCACTGCTCTGTGTGGGGCTCAGTAAGTGCAGAAGAAAGAGGACTTGAGGAGGACAAGGTGTGGGGTGGTGAGCGCAGCTGAATAGGGTTGGAAAACCATGTGACTCAAGCTGTGACTGGATGCTCTTTCAGTGTCACAGAATCACAGAGTATTCAAGGTTGGAAGGTACCTCTAGAGACCATATAGTCCAATCTTCCCACTCAAGCAGGCACACCTAGAGCATGTGGCACAGGGTGGCATCCAGGTGGGTTTTGAAGGCCTCCAGAGAAGGAGACTCCACAACCTCCCTGGGCAGCCTGTTCCGCTGCTCTGTCACCCTCACAGTAAAGAAGTTCCTCCTCCCCTGCAGACGGAACCTCCTGTGTTTCAACTTATGCCCGTTACCCCTTTGGGTAATGGGACACTCCTATGGGTAGGAGTGTCTCCTACCCACAGATTCTTCTGCAGTGCTTTCAGCTCTCCGCCCGGTAGGTGACTGCTGCTCAACTCTTCTCTTCATTAGGTGGCCCAGCAGAGAAGGCCGGTCTGCAGCAGCTGGACACAGTGCTGCAGCTGAACGAGCGCCCTGTTGAACACTGGAAGTGTGTGGAGCTGGCACACGAAATCCGGTGGGTCCTCACCCAAAGGCAGCCTTGGGACCTCCTCCAAAGAGAGCGCAAGGGCAGTTGGAATCACTTGCAGGTCCACGTGGCCCCTCCTTGGATATGGCAGGAGGGAAAGGGGTCCAGCCACACAGGACATGGGGCTTGGAAGGGATGTCCAAGGGGCTATGACAGAAAGGCCTCCTTAGATAACCCGGGAATGGGCTTGAGTGGTCTCGGAAGAGTTGTGGCACTATGTGGAGGCAAGTGGAGCGTAGGGCAGGGATTTGAGCTTTCCGGGGGTACAAGAGGAGTCTTAGGCTGCTCAAGTCAGGGAGACGTGTCCAGGGTGGTTGCAGAGAAACTGCCAGGTTAAACAAAGTTTGAGTCTCAGAGGGGTTTAGCAAGGAGTGTGTCTTCTAGCCGTGGGTAAGGGTTTTTGGAAGGACAGCTCTATAAAGTGGTGTGGAAGAGCACCTCTGCACAGAGCTCAGGGAGTTTGCAGGAGCTCTGGGCAGCTGGCAGTGCTCTGAGTAGCTGCAGGAAGGGGAAGGCTCCAGGGTACTTCACCCCTGCTGTTCCAGCTCTGACTTGCCCCGTGACATCCCTTTCAGGAACTGTCCCACTGAGATCATCCTCCTGGTGTGGAGGCTCGTCCCACAGGTCAGGTCATCAGGACACGAAGGCATGATCCGGAGATCGTCCTGCAAGTCTGCCTATGACCTCCAGTCACCACCCAACAAGCGGGAGAAGAACGGCGCCGTGCCCCCGCGGCCGGAGCAGCGCCGCAGCTGCCACGTCCTCTATGACAGGAGCGACGGGCTCGTGCTGAATGGCTGGGAGAGGTACACGGAGATCGGCAAGCTGGGCCAGAACACCATGCCACCCCTGTCACGGGTACCCTCTACTGGGGACAAGAACTACATCATCTTAGCGCCTTTGAACCCGGGCAGCCAGGTATGGCTGCTTTTGAGCACCATGCTCAGGTTACTGCACCTAATTCTTGGCTGTGCTTGCTGAGTCTTCTCCTAACCTGTGCTTCGGTCTTACCAAGCAGCATCTCAGGCCATGTTTCCAAGGCAGAGCTGTGTCCCCAGGGGGACCTTTTACTGTCCTCCTAAAGTGGTAATCCCTGGGACTGCAGAGCTGAGAATGCCTTTCCGGTGATTGCTCAAGTGGTGAGAGCAGGGGAAACGTTTCCACTGTATAAGCCACAGTACAAGTCATTGCTCTCATTTTCTGGTTGTAATTGGGGGAAAAAAAAAAAAGATTTTCACCTCTCTCTGTAGTGATCTGGGTTTGTTGGGTTTGACTTGCTGAAATTTGTTGTCAGGTTGTTTTAAAGTCCATCCAGAGCCCACTTAAGGTGACTGTGTCCTTTGTGCGTTGTGTCTTACAGCTGCTGAGGCCTGTCTATCAAGACGACAACGCTACTGTGGGTAAGTGGAGTCACTGGATTCCTCTGTTCTGTGCAAGAAAGGCACTCTGGAATGGCACTGGTGCTGCTGAATGAGGAGCGGTGTCCAGTGAGTCCTGGTTGGGTCCTGACACGTGTCTTTGCACAGTGGTCTTATTTCACATCTTGTCAAAGATGATGCTTGCCCTTCTCTTGCAACAGCCTCTGAGATTGTGGACAGGCAGCTCTAAGCATGGACGTGTTGTACGCACATCCCTGGCTGTGTACGTGGGCCTTGGCGTGTTTCCCTTCCTACGCAGGACGTGGTGCCGGAGGGGCTGGTGTCCCAATCCCTTGCTGCGAGGCCCAGTCTCTCCTGGGCTGGTTATGGGAGCAAGGTTTCCAGCCAGGCTTTGTGCACTGACTGTCATGGTGGGGAGATGTCCAGATGAGGCCAAGTGTGGGGCTGGCAAAGCTGTGGTGGGGACCTTGGCGGCGTGAGCAGCATGTGTCCTAGGCCAAAATGGCTTCGAGGCTCACGCTCTGCAGCCAAAATAATTTCCCTAAGCTGAGATTCAGGGGGTGTTTTGTATCATGGATAGTTGCAGCTCTTTCCTGCTGTTTGCAGATCTTGTGAGAAGGCGGGCTGAGCCGCAGGGACTATTTCTTACCACAGGGTGGAATTTGAAAGACTTGGGCTTCTTCCCATAGCAATTTCTTAATGATTATTTTGAATGTGTTTAATATTAAGTCTTTAGAGACAAGGTGATGCTAGTTAACGTGACACTTGATTAAATAAGGCAGTACGGAGCTAGGCACCAGTGATGCTGTGTCAGGGATGGAAGCTTCGAGCAGCCTGGTTGCACTTCTGCACCAGAGCATACAAAATGGAGCGTGTGGAGGTGATGAATTCCTCAAATGAAATGAGGTGATATAAGGATAAGAGAAGAAGTAGATCCTGAGCCACCCAAATAGATTGTACCTGACAGATTGTATCTGTCCTGTGTTGAGCTGTTTCTTGTGCTTTGATTTTTATCTGGCAGTGCAACCATGAGAAAAGGAAAGGAGAAAATGTCATAATTATTGCACTTGGAGGTGGAAACAACCTGTTAGGTCACGAGGGCCACCCCTCTGACCAGGGCAGGCTGTAAAACCAGCAGTAAACAGCGGGTCCCGACTGCCAACACAGCACGGTCTGGCTCTGCTGGCGTTTATCTGAAAGTAAACAGGCCACTTCCTAATAGTTAATGGAGTATGTAATGTTGGGTAGGCTCCTGTATTTGCTTTGGACCAGACCCTATCTCTTCTGAACCATGGTCCCAAGTGTTTTGGCCCATTTCTGTTCAGGAAGCTTATGGTTATCCATTAAGGTGCGAAGGCAGAAGCCTCCGTGCTGGGAACACCGTGGAGGGAACGGAGATGCCCGGGGCTGGGAGGGAGGGATGCCCGGGGGTCTCTGCTGGGCATCCCTCTAGCAGAGACGCTGCGGGAGGGTCTTCCTGAGACCTTCCTGCTGGTGAGGTCCTGGGCTCATATCCAGCTTCTCGCTTGGAAGTGTTAAAATCCAAGCCACGGGCTTTGGAAAGCTTTGCTTGCTGCAGCAGGCCTGGTTTGGTTCATCACCTTTGAGAGGGAAGTGATGAGATTTATTTTATTTTTTCATTTGACCTTTCTGAAAAAACAAGCAAACAAAAAGGTATAAATTTTTGTTTAGAGAAACATTCAGTTCCCTTTGAAGTTGTGCTGCTTGTGGGTTTGAGCAGTGCCCAGTGGCGGATTGTGTGGGGTGAAGGGCTCCTGGGGACCTGACACCTGTCCCATCTTCTGCCCCAGCGTGGGAGGTGATGAGTGATGTTCTTCTGGTCTCAGTGTCCCTGTGGCAGCCTACCAACCTCCCCTGAGCTGCTGCTTGTTTGAATTCAGCTGTGACAACCAGGGCCGGGCAGAATTGGACACAGGGTCGCTAACAGGTCATTAGAGAACACCAAGGCCCTTGGGCCCCATGGATCTCATGTTAATAATAGGAAATATTTTGCAGCTGCTCCCTGCTCGACAACCTTGTTGGGCTGGGACGTCTGAGAACAGAGCAGGCAGCGTCCTGGCAGCTCCTCTCCAGCTCTACCACTGATAATCCGGGCACTGAAAACAAGTTGGAGATGCTGGGTCAAGTCTGACCCACCAGCTGATGTCACCAGGGGTGGGGACAGTGTAGAGCAGCGGGCCTGGGGCAGCCGCGGGGGCTGCGGCTGGTTTGCTGGGAGATGCCACAGCTTTGCTCGACCAGCCCAAAGGAAGGCTGCCCTGTACGTGCTTTGGGGTAGGGCTGGCAGCTTGTGGCTGCAAAGGGGGGCAGAGACGGAAAAAAAGCAGTCGGGCAGCTCAGGCCGTTTCCAGCAGTGAAAGGCAGTGCTGCAAATCAGTGGTCACCGTGTGCCAGCCTTAGGCGAAATGAGGTCATCTTTTATAAATACATCCCCACGCCTGCGTAGCCATCGCATCCCTGAGAGTGATCTGGGAAGGCATGGATTGGTACTGTGCTTAGGACCTTATTTATTGCCTCTGCCCCTTTCTCTGCTATCTCCAGTCTCAGTATCTTCTAAAAGCTATGATTAAAAAGCAAAATTTCTTTCCTATGATGTGAAATTTTTGCCCTTTCTCTACTCCCATCCCCAGAATGAGCAAGTCCATTCCAGAGTAGACTTCTTTCACTATTTCCCCTGTTCCCTGCTCCTTAATGGCTTTTTTTTTTCTTTTTTTTTTTTTTTTCCCCCCTCTCCCCATGGGCAGGGGAAGGTTCACAGTTCAGTAGCACAGGCAGGTGTTTCCCTGAGGCTGGAAACCACCCTGCTGCAAGATGTGATTCAGGAATGGTCATTTAAGGACATGCTTAGGGCTGTTCTGTATTTCTTGCTTTCAGTTCTTTTTCCAGGGCCTTACTTAGGGACATGCATATATAGCAGTGCCGCGTCTCCTTCTCCAAAGTACTGCATTCATGTGTTGGACAGAAGGCAGCACATGCCCTAAATAGAGGATCATGTGCTTGATTGTGCAGAAAAGCTCATGGGATATCTCATTTTGTGTGAGGGAAAATGAAGTCAGTGCTGTTATTTAGTTAATCCCTGGAATCTTTGATAGTGCAGTGACAAATATCCCCGTGGCTCTCGGTTCCTGTTATTCCCCTCAGGCTTTGTGCTAGCAGGAGCAGAGCCAGCAGCAGCTCTGTGGGACCTCTGCTCTCATTCTGTTTCTTTCTCTTCCCTCTGTTGGTCCAGGAAATGCATGCAAGGGGAAATCACACGTGGGGTCTGGGAGAAAATCCAGGCTGATGAAGACTGTTCAGACGATGAAGAGCTACGGGAACTACCAGAACTGCACCATCGTGCGGCCGCACGTGCCGCACTCCTACGGCACATACGTGACGCTGGCTCCCAAGGTGCTGGTGTTCCCCATCTTCGTGCAGGTGAGCACAGCTGCAACTGAGGTGTCAAGGATGCCAATGGTGCCCAGCTTGCACCAGAGCTTGCTGCCCTAGGTAGGGTCTGTGCTGTCGTGCAAAGCACGTGTATTCTCCACCAGGGTATTACTCTGAATGCACAGATTGGGTACTTTCTCTTAGAAATCTATATCCTGCCCTAGAGGTGGTCTCTTGGACTTTTTCCTTTAAGCTTTCCAAATCTGACTTTGGCTGCCTGGGCCGGGACAAGGTATCCCAGCTGCTGGGTTTCAGCAACCAGCTTTGCAGAGCTGAAGATTAATGTAGTTTCATCCTGTGGGTTCTGGGTGCCATTAATCATAGTGTGTGAACAGGGGTTTTATAAACTTGCTGCTAGTCAGCACTGAAATCACTGACTGGGATCCAGAGCAGTAGCAGCTTGGCAGGATATTCTCATTCCTCTGTTTCATAAATGACGGTCTTAAAATTCAGCCCTGAATTTGGTGGAGCAGATAGTCCTGGCTGTCTCTGTGTCCCATTTTTTTTCTTTGTATGGCCAGAACCCCATAAAGTCTAATGTGATCTTGTACATTGAAGTACATTAATGATGAGCAAATTAATCAATGGAAAAGCCTCTGAGGCAGTGGGAAACAGTTGCTTCTGTTGGCAGCAACGAGACCATCATGTCTCGGCACACTTCTTTGGAGCCCAAACCCATGATCCGTGTTGTTGTGAGCCAGTGAGCATCCTGGGGGAAGTGTGACCCTGGGCCTCTTGTGGGAGACAGGTTTGTGCCCACGTCTTGCTTCTCTGATGGCCTGGGAGGTGGTCACTCAAGTTACCATTAGTGTATTTGTGAACCATGACCACGTGAAGAGTTTGTCATTTAGCAGAAAAACAGGTGGCCCTGCTGACTCTTTCTAAAGTTAGTGTCTTGGGTTGAGTCTGAGGGGTTTCTACTACTTCAGGAACTGGTTTTTCTTCTTTGCAGTGTTTTGTACTGTTGTGCAGGGTATCTCCACCCCTGCCCGTTGACCATGCTGCTCAGGAGGATCATCCAAGCGCTGCTTGTGGAGCAGTCAGGGCAGCTGATATCTCTCCAGTTGTTCTTTGGTGCTAAATTGAGATGAGCTTAAAGGTGCTGAGAGGGCAGGATGGAAGGACAAAGGGCAGGTGCCTTAAAATCCCTTCAGCTTGCTGGGAGAATAATTCATAAAATCATGTGGCTCAGATACTCTTCTCTGAAGATAGGTGAGAGTCTGCTGTGGTTGTGTTTCCTGCCAAAGAGCAGCCGTAGCGGAGGCCACACTACGCAGAACAGTTAATGTACAAAGAAATGCAAGCAGCTGATTGTCTTTTTATAGATGAGCCTGATGTAGGTGTTAAGTGTGAGGTTTTGTTTTTGTCACAAAGCTGGACTGCAAACTTTCTGTCTCTGTGGGGAGGCTTTTAGCTGCTTCCCTCCGAGCGATTTACAAAGTGGTGAAGACAAAGTAAGTGGGTTGGGTGAGCGGAAAGTTTTTTGGCAAACCACACTTCCAGTGGAAGGTTTGACTCGGTTTCCTTTTTTTTTTTTTTTTCTTTCTCTCTCCAATTTTAGCCCCTCGATCTTTGCAACCCAGCCCGGACTCTGCTGCTGTCAGAGGAGCTGCTCCTTCATGAGAGCAGAAACAAGACCATACAGGTAAGGCTCTCTCTGTGCTATCTAACCTGATACTTTCTAAACACACTTCACTGTAGCCTCAAGTATTATGCTGAGGAGTGGAGTACTTTACTTAGCAGTATCTTCATTAATGAGATATTCAGAAAAAAAACCTAGCTGGTTTATCACGGGATAAGATAAATGCCCAAACTCTTCACTGCTAGAAATTAACTCTTTTGTTTTCATCTCCTTCATGCTCACCAAGAAGAGGCTGTGCGTGGCAAATGCTTGCTGGCCACAGCCTAGCAGCTAAGACCTCCAGCAGACCTGCCTGCTCAGTGCTGGGATGAGGAGCCAGGGAAGCTTAGGGATATTTAGGATGAGTTTCAGAGACCTAGGAACAGAACTGGCTATGGGGCTTTTTAGAAGTTTAGCTCCTGAAAGAGATTGTATATCTGATCCAAAAGCCTTTCAGTTTTGTGACATTATTATTGGAGAGGGAATTAGTTGGACTGAACAGAATAACGTGTCGTCTTCATAAAGCCATAGAATAATTGTAGCCTAACTTAACTTAGCTTCTGCGTCGCACCTTCTGGGTGGCTGACAGAAGAATCTTACTGCTCACCAGTGGTACAAAACAGTCCCAGACTGAGTTGTGTTAAATGACTCGCCTCTCTCTGTTTTTCAACATGTACTTCATCCCTCTTTATGATTTGATTTGCTATTTAATTTCCCATACAAGTGCATGAAAAATTCAGCATCCATTTGGAAACTTTTCTCTAATCTGTAAATAAAACTCTTCCGTGCCTGTCCTGCTTTTCTTTACTGCTTAGGGTCTTCTAGGCACCCTTATGAATGAAAAATCAAATAAACACTTAGCTGTGTAGGGCAGCTGTGCTTGGATGGGATGGCTTGAAAATATGGTGGCCAGGTTGAAGTGAGGCTGGTTTCGCCGAGTTGTTTGGAGTTGCTTGCCTTCAGGTCAGATTCAGAGGTCTGTGGAAGCAGCCAAATGTGAAATATCCGTGATTAATTCTAGTGTGATTTTAATCCTGGTTGGAACATGTGTGTGTACAGGGATATTCCTACTGAGTATCTCAGTATAAGGCTGTTTGGAGGAGGTGTGCTGCTTTTTATGTCACCAAGGGCCACAACAGACATTTTGAAGAAACAGACGTAGAAAGGATCAGAACAAGGACATGGCAGGGTCTCTGCTTGATTATGAATACTTTGATTACTTAAGGATAGGCATGAGGATGGAAGAGAATTTCCTTACTGGAATTATCACCTGGAAAGGGAAGATGGTGTAGACCAGCCAGCAGCATGAGACAGGATTTGAGAAGGATGGTGGCCTCATGCAGTAATATCTGTGTAAGCCTGGCAGATGGGCAAGGCAAAAAGTCATGGATGGGTGGAATGGGAATGAGTGTGTAGCAGCATCTGCTCTGCAACATAGGAGCCTTTCCCTCAGCATACACCTGGGGTGGTGCAGCATTAATGGCAGCAGATGTTGTATCTAACAAAAGTGGGACATATACACCAGTTTTTTTGAAGCTTTCAAAGTCCCACCGTGACACTGTATGTGATTCACCACAGGCAGGAGAAAGCCAAGCCACACATCATGGATATCCTTTTGGAAAGCCAGAGAAGTCCCTTATCTCGGGCAGCAAGGGTGTCTGCTTTAGTCTTGAAGAGCTGTGAGATGGGGAACCTAACCTTTTGAAGCCAGCAAGACCTGATGTGGCCTGACCGCAGTGGAGTTTCCCTGGTGCTGAAGGGCTGTGACTTCTCTTTTCATCCGCCTTGAGCTCAGTGCCATGCCAACCTTCTCTGCTTCCTGAACAGAAGTGCTTTGTTTCTGATGAGCCCTTTCTTCCTCGTTTCTGACAGGTCCTTGCTCCATGTGGCTTTCCATTTTCTCACTGCTCTTTTCATCCCGCCTCTTCTGTACTGAACTGCTACCCCTGTGGTTTGCAAGACTGCTTTCTAGTTGTTACTCATCTTTGCTCAAGTTGCTCAAGAGAGAACATCTCAGGTACAAGTGGCTGGAAATGAAGATCTTGTTGCATTTTTTAAAAATGAGAATCTTTCCCCTTGGCAATTTCTAAGTCAGGCGCTGCAACCATGTCTTTGAACAAACTCTCTCATCTCCTGAAGGAGCGAACCTGTCTCTCTGGAGGCTTGCCAGGATCTGTCCTCTCATTGACCTTACCTCTGGGGCAATCCTAATTCAGGCCTTAATCACATCCTGTCTAGACTTTGTTGCAATTCCCACTTTTATGGCCCTCTGAAATCCCTCCAGCATGTGAAGTGCCAGAGGAACGGGCATGATGAAGGCCATTTTGCTCAAGTTCTTGAAGATGGTTTTTGTACTTTTCAGTCTGTCTCTGATCTACCTGGAGGCAACTTCCAGCACCTAGAGGTATCTTTTCAACATGAACAGTGCTACCCTCTGCTCTCTTCTCTGACCTCTTAGTTCAGGATGATTCTCCATTGAACCTTGATAGCTGCCAAATCTACCAGGAGTCTGGAGGACAGGTTTTATGCCTGGACTTCGTACCCCTCTCTGCAGGACATCATTTTTTTCTCTCTCATTGCACATGTTGCACTACAAGATCCTAGCACCTCTGGCCCAGGACAGGGAGGTTTTGGCTCCCTGTTTCAGTGGGGTCACTGGATGTGGCAAACCCAGTGAGTTTACCAAAACTCTGTCCCATGGCACAATGCTTCAAGATGCCATTCTCTGTCTATTTTAGATATCTCTATTTGAGAGCAAATACTAGAAACCTTCACTTTCCTCCTCTTTTTTTCCACATAAGTCCCACTTTGTCCTTTTTCTCTTTTCCCTTCACTTTTAAATTGGGTGACACCATATGCATGTTGCTCCTGCTGTAAAGCCATTGCTCTTGCCAGCGTGTGAGCAGAGCCCCTAACGTTCAAGAAAGTAAAATACTTGATGCTGTTCAGTCAGGGTGAGGAACAAAGTTGGCAGCTGAAGCCTTCATGTCCTTAGAAGGTGGTGCCCATCACTGAAGGGCTGTGCTTGGGACGTGCACTGCACCCTGCTGCAAAGCTTAGACCACTTCTGTTAGAGCAGGGCTTGGTTGCCACCTTGGTGTTGAGATACTAAGTGGTGGTAACCTGATAACGTTTGAGCGCGTGCTCGTGTTCTTGTGGTCTCAGCGAGAGCTAAGTGAAAAACTGCCATGGAAACAGCTGTGGCTGAGAAAGCTCATAACACTTAGAGGCTAATGACCAGGGGAGCAGAAATATAAATGGCTGGCTCTTACCAGCCTCTATATGGGAGCTAGATGCATATCGATCCGGTAGTGATGTCTGCTTAATACCGGATGCTGACAATTTTGATGAGCTCCTAAGAGAGTTAAAAGAATAATTCAGGATCTGGAATATCTGATTTATAGAGGAAGAATCAGGAAGTTTCACCCATTTAGCTCAGTCCGGTAGATGGGGACCCATGAACTTTGTAGATGCAACCTGGTCCTTCCTCTTGGTATAGAATCCCACATTGATAATTTGATCAGAATGTGCATGGGTGAGTCCTAGAAGGACACCTGTCTCGGTGGTCTCCACCAAGGCTTATGGGCTTGCCGTAGCCAGCTGCGGATAACGCCGTCTGGCCAGCAGTGCAAGAATCAAAAGGATGGTGTCTTTTCCTATATGAATGGTTTGCCATAAGGGACCTGTCTCTGCTTCTCTTTGGATCCCCTGTTCTTTCTGTTTTACCAAGCACGACTGTGAAGCTATTACTACAGAGACTATCTCAGAAAAGATACACTGGGTCAGCCTTTTCTTGCTGTACACTGGGACAAGTGGGCTGGATTTGCAGTGACCCATCGTGTTGCTGGCTCCACTGTTGAACTGCTGTTTGACATCAATGGTGATGACTCTCTGTGTGCATAGGTGTGTGGAAGAGGAAGGGATTGGGAGAAAGTTACCGACTCTTAAGCACAAATGTGAAGGTACTTTGTTTGCAAGGTTGAATTTCAGGCCAGCTTTCCCTAATATTTGTGTTAGCTCCTCCACAGGGCGTGATTATTGTCTCCTCCTTCCTGTGATGGAACTTTGCAGCAACAGTAATAGCAGAGATGTGCTCTGTTTGCAGAAGAGTCCATTTGTCTTGCTGTTTGCTTTTTTTCCCCCAAGCACTGACTGTGTTTTTATCTTTCCTTATCCTACGTTCAGTCCTTCCTGTCTTCCCATTAATGCACAGTTATCTGCAAATGCTTCTCATGTTTGTGTTCCCATATACCCCTTTTAAATCTACTTGATTTTGAAGGGATGTTTTCCATTACAGAATTGCAGAATGGTTAAGGATGGAAGGGACCTCTAGAGATCATCTAGTCCAACACCCCTGCTCCAGCAGGGACACCCAGAGCACGGGGCACAGGGTGGCATCTTGGCGGGTTTGGAAGATCTCCAGGAGGAGACTCCACACCTTCACTGGGCAGCCTGTTCTAGGGCTCTGTCACCCCCACAGTAAATAAGTTCTTCCTCATATGGAGACAGAACTTCCTGTGTATTCCTTTCTATCCTGACACTTTTCTTTTTCCCTTCCTTTTACTTTCCTTGCATGCTAGGTGTGCAGCTGCTGTCTGCATTTTCTTTTCTTCATTTCTGCTCTTTTTGCTTGCTGGTTATGCTTTTATCTCCTTTGTCCCAGTGATTTGCTGTTCATGCAATCCCTGAGCATCTCTTTTTCGAGGCTGAGGGCACCAGAACAGGACCAGATGTGTCCCGGAAGCTAAACCTCTTGGAACAACACAGGCATGGGAGAAAGTCTGTAGTGTGGTTTCAGTTTTCTTATTCCTTGCCTTGATAACAAGATCAAAAGTATGGAAGAGGGTGAACATGGGCACTCGGCCAACAGAATATTGAGTGCAGAGGAAGGGATTTTCCAAATAATACAGACAGAAAGGGACACTCCCAGGCTTAATTGCCTACTAATGATATGCTGGTAGCTTTGTGCTAGAGTGCCATTAAGAACCCCAGATTTGTCCACAAAGACAAATCTGCACAGCTAGGCGCAGTCTTATGCTAAAGGCTTGTTTTTTGGCTTCAAAGCTAGACACTGCCACCCTGATGCAGGCTCAGCCCTGCATGACAAGCTGTTGCCCGGCTCGTCCTTCTGACACGTGCCTGTTGGCTGCTGGGCATGGAGACACGCTGTATCTGCAGCACGTCTCCGTAAACAATGACTCAGCCCCTGTCCTGAGCAAAGTCACCTTTCAAAGGGTGCCTTGGTGGTGACAGTGGCAGCAGCGCCAGCTGCCTGGGTCCCTGGGAAGCCCTTCAGAGGCTGGGTTTGTTCTGCTGTTGAGAACAAGTTTCTACAAGTGGTGGTTGCTCGCCCTTTTACAGCTGCAGCTCCTGGTGGCAATATCTCTGCTGCTTTGCTCTGGGAGGTGGTGGAAGCATCCGGCGGACTCGTGGTTAAGGGCAGCTGTGTGCTCCCGTGCTTTGAGATGTGCTTGGCTGGATGTTTTGCAGGGGACCCAGGGCACTGGCAGGTTGCAGCGATCTCCTGGCATCTTCTTAAGCCTTGGCTAGCTCTATGTGAGCAGTTTCTGCCTGGGAACAGAACAGGCTCAAAACTCAGCCACGAGTGTCCACCTGCTCCCTGGAGGCTTCTCGGTCAAGGATCGCTGTAAAGTGGAAGAGCTGATTCTTCTCATTTTAAGACTCTCTTTATATAGTGATTATATGAGGGACCACAGTCAAGAGCCAGAGGAGAACAAAATCTTCCTTTTGCATTGGGAGCAAATGCCACTGCTCTGGCGTAGCTCCTCTCCCACTTCCTAGGACACTTGAGTCACTATTTAAGCACAGAGCTGGGCAGAAACTCAGCTCAGTGTTTGCTTTCCACCCATTGAAGTGGCTTAAGGGTATCAAGTTTTCTCCTTGCAGCTACCCACATTATTATAATTTTTTGTTTGTTTTTTTAAAGCCAAACTCCTTTGCTAAAGGGGATCATACATGAGAACAGCAAGACACTCCTTAGTGACTATGTGTGGGGAGATGAGCGTCACTTTTAGGCTGCCACTTCCACGTATTAGGTTTAATCAGCAGCTCGTTCACTCCTCCCGCTCCTCTGATTTACAACTTATGTAAATGGGAAGCGACGCAGAGAGCAGGGAGCTGGTGTGCGCGTCGCGGCGCCGCCGGGCCGGTTCCTCTCCCATCACGGGACTCGTGACCCTCGGTAGGCAGCTGCGAGCGGCAGGGACGGTCTGGCCGGGTTCTCGGGGGACCAGGGTGTCCGGTCTGCCGCTCATGGCCACTGCACCTCCTCGGAGCAGGACACCTCGGGAGGACTGCCTCTGTGATGGAAGATGCCTTTCTCATAGCTTCTCTGCTGCTGTTGTGCCCTGCAGGTGACTCTCTTTGTCTACTCCGACTTGCTGCTCTTCACGAAGGAGGATGAGCCGGGCCGCTGCAATGTGCTGAGGAACCCTCTCTACCTGCAGAGCGTCAAGCTCCAGGAGGGTGAGTGTCGGCAGACACTGGAGCCTCGGGGGATGTTGTCTGGCTGTTTTGCTTGCAAACAGGTTTCTAGCCAGCCAAGGGGCAGCCCAGGTGGCCTGCACAGCGCCCCAGCACCCGGTCACTTCCAGTGGTGGCAGCGCTGCCCAGTCACCCCCGTGGGGTGCAGCATCACCCTTCCCATCCCTGTCTTCAGCTGCTCCCGTGAGCTCCATCTCCTGGGAGGCTTCAAGGAGCGCCGGCTTTCGGGAGTGCCGTTCCCGTGGTCGGAACGGAGTCTGTAAATGTCTTGATGTGCTGGGCTGTTGCCCTGGCCCGTCAGTGCGGTGTTGCTGCGGGGGAAAGGGAAGTGAAGGCTCGAGGTTTGCCTCGAGAGAGGCTGCCCGCGCTGACCTTTGCTTGCCCCGCTTCCCTCCGCGCCGCCCACGCTCTGCGCGCCGCGGGCGGCCCTGCCCCCGGCAAGGGCAAAGCCGGGGCTGCGGGAGCCGCGGCGGCCTGGCCTGCGCGCCGCTCCCCTTGGATGGGCCTTTCCTGGAGCCTGGGTGCGTTTGGGGAGCTCCTAAGGGGCGGGGAATGGCTCAAGATTGGCTTCTTTGAAGGTGCAATGCTGAGGTGACGTGAAGGGTGCTCTTTGCTCGAGGGTCAAATGAGGAACAGAAAGGCGGCTCCACAACATCCCGTTTCTTGTTGTGGCGGCTCCTCTTGGCCTTGGCCCAGCTCTGCTCTGTTCCTTCCTTGGTGCAGTCGGTCTGTTTGGGCTCACGTGTTTGCTTGACTGCTGCAGCAAGGGGTTGGAGCTCTTCTCCTGGACTACAGGTATCGGGTGTTGCTGGATGAGGGTCCTACCTGAGATACTCTGCTTAGACGTGAGCAAACCCATTTACTTTTTTTCTATAAGGGTGTTTGAATCCTGAAGTGAGCTATGGGATCACTGTGCTTGGGGGTGTTAAAGACTCAACTGGACAAAGCCTGGTGCTCCTTGTTCCTCTTGGACCTGCTTTGGACAGGGGAGCTGGACTACAGATCTCCAGAGTCCCCTTCCACCCTGAATTCCTCCATGATTGTACGAGTTGGCATCTCTGTGCAAGGGACAGTCCTGCGGCCCTCAGCCTGTACTCCCCACTGATGGGGCTTATTCTCCCAGAGAAGTGCTTCACGGCATTAGTGTTGCCCCTTCCCCTTTGGTGAGGTGCTCGGAAGGGGCCCGTGACGCTTGCAGTGTCGCTGGGTGCTCGGCGTGCGGCTGCGGCGCTCCGGGAGCCCCTCGTGCTCGCGGGCTGCTGGTCAGGGCATCTGCGGTGCTGCCGTTCAGCACCTGGATGCCACGGGCTACTCAGCAGCTGCTATCTCACGTTTCCAGCAGTGCTTCTGCTCCCAAACTCATTCACTGCTCTGTTAGGTAGAGGCAGATGCTCGATCAGGGATGTGACACGGAAATACTTGGAAAAGCCGGTGAAGCAGCGTGGGAGTTTGAGCTTGTTCCAAGTGCGTATTTTTCTAAGAAAGGGACAAAAGAAATTATCCCTTCCTGGGCAGTGTCTAGTCCCAAAGCACTTTGGTCGGGCCAGCGCATGTGGGTCCTGGCCACTCCCAAGGCTGGCTAGGTAATCCTGCTGTTGTTTGCCCACAGCAAGGAATCTCCTTTCCAGGGGCTTGGCGCCAGGATGTGCCTGTGCAGCTCAGGGCAGCTGGATGCCATGAGCGGCTGCAACACGTGTTTCCTTGCTGCCGGAGCACATCTGGGCTAGAGCACATCTGGAATGGCTTAGTGAGCTTCTCCCACGTGCCGTCGGGCTCTGGAGCCTGCCCGCGGCCGCTGTGCCTGGGAATCCAGCACCCTTTCGCCTTCCAGACCCTCACCCTCCGGATTTGTGCTTCAAAGCCGGGGAGAACAAGCCGAGAAGGGCGACCGTCCTTGTTTGGCAGGGCTTTGCAGTTGCTCTGCAGCCTGGGTGAACGGCTGTGAATAGGAACAGGCGTTGTGCTGAGCACAACAATCGAGACATCTCCGGTGCGCGGGGACCATTGTGGGGCTTCCTGTTTCTGCCGCCGGCCGCACCGTGCGACAGCGAGTCGCTCCGGTCTGCTTTACAATGCTCCCTCTTCCTGCTTTAGAAGCCGAGCGTGGCTGATGAGCCCCGCGCCCGCCAACGCGCCCAGCGCCGCGGGGTGGGTTTCCTCATTGGATGCTGTGGGAATTCCCACGCTGTGGTCCCTGCGCTCCCAGGGTTTGTGTATTCCACACTCGGACAGAAAAGGAGCCCCCCGGTGCTGGGAGCCCCCTCCCTGGCTGGGAGCCTGCAGACGGGCACCCTGCCGACAGGGACCTTGTCCTTGCCGGCTTCGCAAGCTGCCCTCTCCTGCAGCAGCTCCTCAGCTGTGACTGTGGGAGCTGCTCCAGCTGCTGTGATTATGGAGCCTCTGCCACCAGCTCTCCTCTTTGGCAGCTCCCGTCACTGCGGGGCAGGCAGTCTGTGCCCGCACCACCACCCCTTCCCAGGCATGCCACAGGCCTCGCTGCCCTCCCCGGGGAGGAGGCAGAAGGAGCAGAACTGTCTTCCCGGCTTTCCCCCTTTTTGACGCAAAGCCCAGCATTCTTCACCCAAATGCTGAAGGCTGCGTTGGTGTGGGGAGAGGCTAGAGCCCCAGAAGGCTGCTGAGTCCAGAGAGCTGCACAAGAGCCTGTGCTGGGCGTCAGCAGCCCTGGGTCATAGCTGCAGAGGGGACATGTCCCTGCAAAGCCCTGTGTCCTCACAGAGACCCCGCATCCTGCTGCTCTTGTGGCGCAGCCCAGCCCCAGTGCAGGCACCGCTCAGTTTACGCGCAGAGAAACACCCATCTTTGTCAACATGCACCAGGAACAACCTGCTGTGACTCCAAGTGAGGCTTTTTCCTCTTTTCCCTTATTTCCTTTGGGCATTTTGCTCTGGGTGGGCTCTGGGAAAAGCTCTGCAGGAAGAAATCCTGGCAAAGCTGCTTTGAGTGGAGATGGGCGCTGGGGTCTGCTCTTCCCAGCGCTGCCCGCTCTCTTCTTCCTCCCATCGCTCCTCGACGTGGAGAGGTGCTCGCCCAGCCTCTGGAACTGGACAAAGAGGGGACGCCCTGGATTCCTTTATGTCCCCTCACCTCTAACAGCAGTTGTTTAAATAAGGAACCTACTACGAGTTAAAGGTTTCGATGGTGGGATGGCAGGTGGCTCGAGTGGAAGCATCTCCCAAGCAGGTACCTTTGTGTGACACGTCTGACCGGCCGCTCGGCGGCTGGCACTGAGGACACGCGGTGGTGGCAGCAGCGGTGGTGGCAGCAGCAGCGGTGGTGGCAGCAGCTCATCACTGCTGTGATGCAGCGAGGAGCAGAGAGCCCGTTGAGAACGGGGGCTTGTTTATCCTGGTGAGCACTCGGGCAGTTGAAGCAGCGCAGCAGGGACCGGTGTTGCGGCTGCTCTACTGGTGTCCGGCTCCGCTCCGGCCTCCGTGGGCCCTTCCTGGGCTGCTGGCAGAGCGATGCTTCCCAAGAGGCACGAGAGCTCCTTTCCCCCGGATTCTGCTGCAGCAGCCCGGGGTCCCCGTGGTGACGATGTCAGGCTCTTGTGCCTTGGAAGTGACGCTTTCTGGACCACTGGCGATGGATCAAGGGCTGTGATGTCCCCAGAGGCGCCAGGAAGAGGCATCCCCAAATGCCCTCAGGCTTTGCCCTTCCTCGTGTGTTCTGTGGCCCCTGTGAAGGGCCGCAGGTGGCTGCTGGGCGTCTCAATGGGTCACGGCTCTTTGACTCGGAGCTGCTGCCTGCAGCAGGAGAATTGCTTTCCCTCTGGGAACGGGCTGTTTCCACTGCCGGTGCAGAGCCCGTTTCCTTCATTAGCACAGCCCAGGCTTTTGAAACGAAGCAGAGCTTGCACTGACACCACTTGGAACAGGGTTTGCGGCTGTGCCCAGCCCACAGAGCTGATCTCATGGCAGAGATAATGTTGTTAAAAGGCTTCTGAAGCCTGGAGCCCAGCGGTGCCGTGTGCTGCCAGCGGCAAAGCTGGAGCAGGGCGCGGTGCTGGGGAGGGCAGCGATCCCGCCGCCACTTCGGGGTGGGATGTCCTCCTCCGGACATGTCATGGCTTCATCTGCACCTGTGAGGCTGATGTGTGCCAGAAGCTGGCTGCCCTGCGGCTTAGGAGACTCGTGTCTCGCACACAGTGTGCACAGACCAAGGAGAACCCTCAGAAACGTTCTCTGGGGATCCAGGGGAGCTGGGCTGCAGGAACTAGCCTGTGGAGCAACCCTGGGACAGCCAGCAGAGGAAGAGGGAGGCGAGCTGGAGCGTTCTCGCATTTTGAGCTGGGTTTTGGCTGGCTGCTCTGGTCATTGCGTTGCCTCCAGCCCCTCCTTCCTTCCTGGTGCTGCCAAAGCACAAGCTGTGGGTTGATGTGGAGGCTGCTGCACTGCTGGCTGTGCCTGGGCTTTGGCTCTGTGCTCGTTTCCGTGGCCCCCTGACCCACTGTGTTTAGCCTGTGCCCCTGGCTCAGCTCCCCCTCGGAGAGGAACTGGCCCAAGGTAGAGCCCGAGAAAAGGTGCTAGGACAGAGCTACCCGGGAGGAGAGCAGGGAATGAGCGAGGATCTGGGATCTAGGGCCAGTCTGGTTAGTCCTCCTTGGTGTCCTGTCCTAAATGCTAGAGGGTGTCCTGGCAGGCAGGGGAGGTGGCCCAGGGCTCTGTCTCCCCTTAGTCCTTGCACTGATTTGGAGCCTGCGGTGGGCGTGAATGAAACGAGCTCTTCTTCTAAAGGATTAACCCAAAGGAAAATCCCCAAGGGTGCAGTGAGCCCGTGTGAGATGTAATGCAAGCACAGCCTGCCCCGTGCAGCCCGGGGCCGTCCTACAGATGCGGCATACATCATTCCCAGATCGCAGCCTGGTACTGTAGGACGACAACAATAAATATTCATTAAATGTTGTCTCTTAGCCAATTCCTCTGCCAGTCGCTCTGCTTGGAGAAATGCAGTTGTAGCTTAATTCTGATCCTATTTTTCTTCTTTGTAGGTTCAGAAGATCTGAAATTTTGCATCCTTTACCTTGCAGAGGTGAGTAGTTTTGGAGAGTGGAGAGTTTTGGAGGAGTGAGAGGTTTTGGAATTGCTTCTTGGTGGGATCTTAGCATGTGGTAACAACTCTGGTTCCTCCTGACTGGACCAAGAGCACAAAGTTAAAATGATTTTTACTTCTTTTTAAATGGCTGTAACCAGAACATATTAGTAAGAAGGTGCTAGAAGGAATCTGTGACTCGAGAGGCTACGCCTGGCTACTCTCCCGTTTCCCCACGTGCTCCATAGCTGGAACTTCCTTGCTGCATCTCACCTTTAGTTTACCCTGAGGTTCCTTAACTCGGGGATAGATTTCATTGTGAATTGCCCTGACTTTATTGGGGGCATCTTGCTTTTCTTGTTGTCGAGCACTCGAATTTTCAATCAGCAAATAGAATAAGGAAGCTCAGCGTAAAAGACTTGAATAATCACAGATCTAAAAATGCGTGCAAATGGTGCATGGTTGAATGTTCTAACCAGATTTGCAATCACTTGGATGCTGGTAGAATTGTGCTTGTGTCACGAAGGAGCCAAGGAGGCTGCAAAACTTGCTTGTAGTAACTGGCCCTACCTTGTCACTGCATTCTGAGCTTATTTTGTTTTCAAATAACATTACTGTGTTCCAGGTTTCAAGGCCTTATATTTTACGGTGGAAATCTGGGTCTGGGAAAGTTCCCTAGGGCTTTGAGGGGAAAGACAAACATTGCTCAGCAGCACCACAATATAATGAGCTATTGTGAAAGTTGGACGAAAATGCTTCTAATGAAAGTTGTTCAGCAGCTGGGATCCGGGCCAGGGCGTGACTTGCTGTGTAGCTCTGGGCAGATGAATTCCTCTCAGGTTTCCCTTTGCTTGTCCTCTGTGCTGCTCTGAGCTGTCGTGCGCGTTGCTTGCCGATTGCGTGTCGCAGTGCGGTGGCGGCCGGCCTGGACACTGGGTTGTCCTGCTGCCCCGGGTGATTGTTGAGGCCGGCCTCAGCAAGGTGTGAGGAACTCCTGCCTTTTCTCCTGTGTTTGGAAAAATGTGTTTGGAGGCTGACCTTCAATTAGAAGCGGTGGTCCCATAAACAGAAGTAATTGGCAATGGTTGGATTTCATGGGATATTGGCAGAAGAAGACTCATCTTTGACAAAATGTAATGAAATGCATATTTTTTTCTTCTGATGGGCATAAATGGCCTTGTGTCTCTCAACTCTGCTGATCGAAACCTGTGGCACCCACTGCGGTTGGAGTTTGGTGATTGTGCAGCAAAGGTCCAGTGTTACCTACCTTCCCTCATATGCCCGTGAAGAGGACAGCAGGGCTGGAAAGGTCCCACATATGAGGCTCTTCAGACCCCTTCCTTGCTGCTCTCTGCCCCAGGTGCCTCAGAGCAGCCTGCTCTGAGAGGCAGCGTCCCCACCTGGGGACCAGCAGGTCCATCTCATGCCCGTCCCCAGCAATGGGCGCTTCTACCCTGGCCTGGCCAGCATGAAGCATTCAGGTGAGGTTGGGCAGCTCGTGGCTCAAACTGATCCTCTTGGAGATCAGGAGGTCCCTGGTATCACCCCTTCCCTCCTGTGCATGGACCTTGAGCATGGTGGTTTCCACCGAGCCAGGGAGAGGAAGCTGCCCTGGTGCCTGGGGAGGATACAGTCCTCCAGGCAGCTGGCTTTGCTTGGGTCTTTAGGACAGGAGAGAGGAGGGTTCTGGTGTGTTTGTGAGTGCACTGCTCACCTCAGGCTTCAGGGAGACCTTTTTCACCATTAAGGCTCCCTGGGCTTGCCCTCACTGGATGTTTGTGGCTCAGGAGGGCAAGCTGAGGCACACAGAGAGAATGGGACTTGCCAGTGAGTAAGCAGCGAGGGGGACAGGACGGGGCAGCCCTGCCTCGCTCGCAGATGATCTCCAGGGAAGCAGTGACCAAAAATTCCAGTGCAGGAGCTGGATGGAGCAAGTGAGCAAACTGAGTGTTACTGGTGGCTAAAGCACAAGAGCAGAAACCTGCTGTGAGAGGCTCTGGAGCTGGCAGAACTGTCCCCTGCACAAGTGGAGCTCGCTGGGATGGAGATGGGCTTCAGCACTGGGTCAGACACCATCCTGGGAGCCAGCTTGGAGCATTTCATGCTTTTCCTCCTGCACGGAGGCTAAAAAGAGCAGCACAGTCAGGGCATCCCTCTTCCTTACCCTTTCCTACAGCCACTTGTCGGCAAAGATGCCTTCGTTACAGGGTATAGGGGCGTTCTGCTTCGTTACAATGATGTCTTCGTTACAGGGTATAGGGGAGCTGGAAGCCAGCAGTGTGTCAGGGGACAGTGCCCTTCAAAGGCATCGCTGCCAGCTGGCAAGGGCAGAGGAGCCGTGGGGTGTCGGACGCCTCCCGGGGCTGGTGGGCACCTTGCTGCGTGGGGTGAGGGTTGTCTGTGCCGTGGAACATGCTGGCACTGGGGCACCCCTGTGCTGCAGCAGCAGCGCGCAGGGCTGCGCCGGCCGCGTCCGGGCCCAGAGCTCCTTTCTGCCTTGCCCATAGGCCTAAAGACCAGGAGAAGATACGGTGTCTGCCTTTTAGGGCTGAGCCTCGGCAGTCTCTTCTCCCAGCAGAAACAGAGACACAATCTGAAAGCTCGTTTGGTCCAGAGCTGTCCCAGCAACTCTTCTTCCATGCTGTGGGTCTGGGGTTTGGTGGTCATTGTCATCCAAACACTCATGTCACTGTAGTATTTAGCAGGCAGGTCCACGATGTTGCCTTTGTGGTGTCTGTGGGCTTGGAAGAAGCTCTCACTGCTGTTTCCTACCCCAAATCATCTGCAGTGAGTGCCAGTGTATTTAGTACTGCTGTGGGTAGCAGAGGAGCCACTGGGGTCTGGCTGGTCTCGAGCTCATGGTGGGAATGGCTCTTGTCTCAGCTGTTGGGGTCCTCCTGTAATTCAGGGATCCTGGAGGGTAATAAGAAAACTGCTCATAGTCATCTTGTCTACCCACTTCTACGTAAATCGCCCACGGGGCGTAGACTTTGTGCATTATGGGTGTTTATAGTTGAAAACCAGCATCTCCCTGCCTTGGTGCCGGCTCCAGCAGGAGGATTTAGTTGCTCAGCTCTCCCGGGTGCCAATCCCTGCATCGCGGCTGCCTGGCCATGCCCAGCACGAGCGGCTGCGGTCCGGCTGCCGCAGGGCAGCGCTCTCCGTGGAAGAAAACAGGTTAGGCTGAACATAGGTTAGTGTGAGAAACGATATAGAAATAGAGAAAGATTCTCCACTTAGTTGTCCATTCATTTCTTTTCTTTCCTTTTTTTTTTTTTAAACTTCATTTATTAGTTTTTAAGAAGATCCATTAAGCATGTAGTGCAGTTGAGTAAACTTGAGAGATTGCATCCCAGGAGCAATTCTGACATCCCAGTATGGGTCTTCCATCCCCATTGCATGCGGAAAATTGTCATTTTGAAATATTTTGCGCCGTGGAAATTCTGCAGGCTTCTAGCTGGGACACACAGCCCTGCTGGGACACACAGCCCTGCTTTGTTCCTAGTGCTGAGGGGGCAGCTGTGAGAGTCTGAGCACAGAAGCAAGCCCGAATTAGGCTAGTGAAGGCAGCCCCTGTTGATCTGATGGAGAATTTGTACACCTGGAATCTTGTCTAATTTTTCTAATTGCCAACTGGTATAACAAAAATTCTCGCTCACTCATAGAGACCTGGTATACCCTGTGCTTTGCCTCAGCATTTTAAATCCAAGTGGATTGGAATGGCTTGTTGTGGGTTGTGGAATGCATCTGGTCTCCAGAAGTGTCAGGCTGGTCCAGTGTGGACTCCTGTTTCTGCATACCAGGGACTTGGTGGGTTAGTGAGTGACGTCCCCGTGTGCCCGGTCCCCGCAGGGTACCTCCTCACACAGCTCCCGTGGTGACATTTCTGTCAGGAGACAGGAATAAACTGATATATTGTATTGTGGAAGTGAATAGCCGGCACAGAGACGTGAGTATGGTCCAGGGCTGTGTTCACACCCTTCCCCAATCCGGAAATATCCCACTGATAGGAAACTGCAGATCAGTGTTTTATTGCATTGTTAGAAGTTTTTGATTCAAACCCAACTCGTTCAGACCAAATTGACTTAAAATCAAAGAGCTCATTAAGTTTTTCATTGTGAAAACGTTAGCAAAATTGATCCTTTTCTCTGGAAGTTTTCATCTGCAGGCGCTGGCTTATCCCTTGGGAAATCGCTCCGACAGAAAATGTTTCCAATTCCAACTTCTTGGCCTGCTGTAACGCTTAGAGACCCGGGCAGGTTAGTGCAGTGAATCAGCGCTTGGGCTTGTTGTGTATCGGGGCCCCACATCCCAGCTCTGCATGGGAGATCCTCAGGACTCCCGTGACTCTGTTTGGGTGCTCCCTGCACCCTCGGGGTACCCCTGCGCACCCTTCCTGTCCCAAGAGCACCTCCCACCTGGATCTAGCTGGGTCCCAGCTGCTGGCAGGCTTACGTTTTGAACAAACCCTCTTTAAACCGAACCACTAGTGGAGTGAGAGGCCATACTGAGGCTCGTGTAAATGTGCCTGGCTCCATGGTCTTCCCTGGAGCTGTCCTAGCTTTCTCCACAGGAAAATTCACTCCCAGAGGTGCCCTGTGTTCCTCAGGATGGAGGTGGCATTGGCCATCGCTGTGGCACGGGGGAAGAGCAGGGAGAACTGGGCCTCCCTCTCCATATAGGCAAGTTGAGTACTGAAGAAGGAGATGTGCATGCCCAGGGACGTGCTGGGACCTGGTAGGTGTTCAGCTTCACTGGCATGAATTTGGCAGCACTTACGGACATGTCATCAGAGGAGGGTTGCCAAGGACTTTGCTGGGCGCTGTCCTGGAGTCTCTGCAGGGCGGGTGCTTTTGTGACGAACAAGGTCTGAGGGGCTGGCCAAGGGGAGCCATCCAACCTGCGCAACACGAGGGAGCAGCTGAGGGGAATTTGGTTAGTCAAGAACTTATAAAGCAGCTATTAATGAAGATGATAGTGCTGGGGGCCTGCAGCTACAG